GAAAAAAGATGATGATGTGTTTTTCGCGTTTTTTGAAGATCTATGATCTTTTGAAGATGATTGTGTGTAGTTCTTTTGAGACGATACTTGTGAGAACGTACGTCTTTGAGAATCGTGATTGTCAGTTTGGGGTCTGGAAGGAGTTGGACAATCACCTAGATCAGGAAATTTCGAGAAGTTGAAGGTACCCGATAAATTCGAGTTTTTCTTCGGTCGCAGAATTTGTTTGGCCTCATCGAAAGAGGTTTTGTGAAGTGTCGCGTAATAGCGGACTTCCTTTTGAAAAATAAATTCCGGGCATAGTTTTGAAGTCGCTTTGTGTGGGCCATTACAGTTCACACATTTGGGAGGTCCTGATGCGTTGGCGCATTGATTCACATCGCCATGTGGCGTCAAGCTACCGCATTCACGGCATCTAGTCTTGGACCGGCAGTGTTTAGCAATGTGCCCAAAACGCAGGCATTTCAGACACATGCGAGGGTCAGGAATGTACGGACAAACCAGGCTAGAGCCCTTAAAGATGGCAACACGCTCTGGGAGAGTCATCACTTCTCCCTGAAAAGTGAGAAGGATGGTAGTCGAAGGTTCGTAGGAAGTGGGTTTTCCTTCTACGATTTTTTTGCGATTAAATCTCATTGCGTTGATAATTTTGCCATCTTTGTTAATATGACCCAAGATTTCCGCGTTCTCGGGAATATCGTCAATAGAAATGTCTGTTCTGATACCGTTAATAATTCCTTGACACGTAACAAAGCTAGAAGGAATTATGGCAATTAGGCCTTTTGATTTTAAAGAAGGGTCAGACACGATTTGATTTGCTGCTCTACCGCCGTTCAACAAGACACGAACTTTACCGCGACCGCTCGGGTGAATACTTACAATTTTACTGGGGTAAAGAGTGTCAAGCATCTTACCAACCGACACGTGGTTAAGATCTTTTGATGCATCTGGTGATTTCGAATCACGCTGAATAAAAATCGGACAATTACCCTTGTTTGAGTTCTCGTATTTCGAAGGTTTTCGAATTTTTCCGTCGGCTTTATCGGAAGCATTTGTCGAAATAGTTTGTACCTTGATTTTATCGCTTGCATCGCAAACCCGCTTTGCTAAGGGGTCTGGATTTGACGACGTTGAATTATGACGCGATCTCTACGGTTTTTGCCGTTACATTGAATGAAAAGCAAACCTTTCGCAGCTTTCTCCATTTCCAGATCAATGTGTGTATGTTCATTCATATCGTCAATAAGCATATCGGACGTATCCGAGTCCATGCTTCGGTATCAGGAGTTCGGTTTTGACCGTACCCAAGTACAGTTCTCAAGCATCAATTTAAGTGAGGATTTACCTCACAGTGTCTATAGTTCTCTAATTTTGACTTATTTGTATTTTTAAAGTGTCTTACTTCAAGTATTCGGAGGAAATGATTCTAAACTGACTTTTTTTAACTTAAACTCATATTTGCAATAGTATAAATATTTAATTCACATCTTTACCTCCCAACACATGTTCATCAACTGCCATAGATTTATATATAGTTTACCGAATTGCGATTGACGCCATTTTTTTTGTTCACATTAACCAATTTCATGGACACTTTTGATTCTTAATTCTTATTCTTTTAAGTGTTTGTTCTGACAGTTGGCTAAGCCTCAAGTCATTTAAGAAGAAGAAGAAGCTTCGGTATAACACGCACAGCCCGGTGGCTGGCGTTAACCTAGAAGAGACCCACATAGCACAATAGTATGAGGTAAGGTTATGTTGAATACTAATCGTAAGGCTCATAAGGTTACACGATATTGCTGTGGTAGACCTGAGGTGAACTAAAAACTTCCGCCATGGAGGTAAGGTTACATGTTAGAGTGTGGTAAGTATATATGATAAGGCTATGGTAACCTTACACGTTAAGGTTGATGTAACCTTACACGTTAAGGTTGAGGTAACCTTACACGTTAAGGTTGAGGTAAAGTTACACGTTAAGGTTGAGGTAACGTTACACGTTAAGGTTGAGTTAAGGTTATATGTCAAGGTTAAGGTAAGGTAATTATTAAGTTGTAAGGTTGAGGTAAGGTTAAGGTAAGGTTGTGATAAGTTTACCAGTTATGGAAAATATTGACAAAATAATTAATAATATAATAAATAAATATTAAATTAGAAAGTTAAGTTTGTTGCTCTTCTCTATTTTGGAAACCTGACATGAAGCAGAAAATTTTGAAAACAAATTTGGGGGGACTGGGATTCGAACCCGGGATCGACGCGCATAAACCTAACATCCTAACTAACTGAGCTAAGTGGAGAACTGGTAGCAAGAAAATTAATTTTGCCTTTAAGGAGTTAATCATATTCTTGGTTCACCTTAAAGGCAAAATTGATTTTCCTTCTGACAGTTCTGTACTTAGCTCAGTTAGTTAGAATGATTGGTTTATGCGCGTCGATCCCGGGTTCGAATCCCAGTCCCCCCAAATTTGTTTTCAAAATTTTCTGCTTCATGTCAGGTTTCCAAAATAGAGAAGAGTAGGTAACAAACCTAACTTTTTAATTTAATATTTATTTATTAATTATATTATTAATTATTTTGTCAATATTTTCCATAACTGGTAAACTTATCACAACCTTACCTTAACCTTACAACTTATTAATTACCTTACCTCAACCTTGACATATAACCTTACCTCAACCTTAACATGTATAACGTTACCTCAACCTTAACGTGTAAGGTTATCTCAACCTTAACGTGTACGGTTACCATAGCCTTATCATATATACTTACCACACCCTAACATGTAACCTTACCTCCATGGCGGAAGTTTTTAGTTCACCTTAGGTCTACCACAGAAATATCGTGTAACCTTATGAGCCTTACGATTAGTATTCAACATAACCTTACCTCATACTATTGTGCTATGTGGGGAGCGCACAAGATAAAAATATAGGCAATATATAAATACTCTATGAAATCTCAAAAGATAACTTAGTATTGGTTGAGTATCAATCTGATCACCGCCGAGCACAAATTATCTCGAAAAACAGAACAAAATGTCACAAGCAAAAATAACGCGTTTGTTCGATCCGAGTGTACAAACGGAAGTTTGCTTGTTTGTTTGTTATTTTCAAAAATTTTCCTTAATTTTATATGAAATTTATTATTTACAAAATTTTTATAAATTTTTTTTCCATAATTTAATTACTTTCATTAATATAACTCATCGCAGACTTTTAATTATTTTTAATACAATTTTAATCGAATTCCTCGAAAAAATGTAATTGTTCTTAAAAATTTTATGAAAAATCGTTAAAAGAATATGTACAATTATTTAAAAATGTTTTGATAAAATTCTTTATGAGAATTCAATTTTAAGAAATTTTAATTATTCAATAAATTATTTATTTTTGCATACAAATTATTGAATTGTCTAATAAAAATTTATTTAAAAATGAATTTGAGTTAAAGTTTTACATAATAATTGAATATTAAAAGCATTATAGCATGAATTTTAATAAATAATTAAATTCTAAAATGGTTTTCAATCTTGTATTTTTCATACTTATAACTAACAATTCTGAAGAATTAATTATTTTAAAAAAGTTTAATTGAAGTTTTTTCTGAAATTATTTAAAGTGTTTATTTTTTAACTCGTATTTAATTGAAGAATTTCTGAATAATTTAAATTTCGTAAAATTGATTTATAAACAAATGGATTTTAAAATTCTCAAAGAACTTTCTTCGAAAAGTATTAAAAATAATTGATTCCTGTAGGAAAATAATAATGATTAAAATTTATAGAATATTTTTTGGAGTATCTAATCATTTTTAGAATGGATCAGAATATTCTTTAGGGTCAGGGAAGAAGTCAAAATTTTGTCAAGCGCAATTGCTTTTTCATATTAAAGTTTTTCATATTAAAAACAAGTTGTAAATCCAGATGTTCATTACATGAACATTTTGCTTCCTCTTTACGAACAGCAAAAAAAAAATTTTAGATTTAAAATTAAAAAATAATTTAAAAAAAAATAAATTAAATTAATTTAAAATTTAAAAATTTAAATACAATATATACTTTATATATACCAATCGATCCGTCTTGGTGCAAAGAATAAGATTTTGGAAATAAATGAGTAAGATTTTCTTATACAGAAACATATATTTGCGGAAAGAACTCATTTTTTTATAAAAATGCGAATTTTTCAGTTATAATTGTGATTAACTCTATAAATTCTCATATAATTTATACCTTGTATCGACCAATCGATTAGTCTTGATGCAAAGAATAAGATTTCATTATAAATTAACTTCAATAACCACCTTAAAAAAAATTTTTTTCAAAATTTTTTTTAGAAAAAAGTCAATAATAGTATATTAAGCAGCTAGTGAGTAAAGCCTATCATTTATTTTCGAGACTGATGTTTGCAGCACGAGTTGTAGGCGAGGGCGCCTACAACTCGTGCTGCAAACATCAGTCTCGAAAATAAATGATAGGCTTTACCCACGTAGCGCTTACGATTATTTTAAACTTTTAAAGATATTTTTAAAACTTTTTTTAAAGTTGATTTTAGAAAATGAATATCGATGGTAAAATAATTACTTTTACAAATAACAAAAAAAATTAAGCAAACAATAAATTATTACAGTAGACTATTTGAAAAAAATTTTTTATTAAAGAATAATCTGATTATAATATTTTATATTAAAAAATAATCTGATTATAATATTTTTAATTAGAAAAATAATACAGTAAACAGTCTTCAATTGTTTAAGCAGTACAAGAACATTAGAATAAACTATAAAGTGCCAACATTTCTTAGTTAGACTTAAACTAGAAGAAAATCACATACAATTGTTTACTATTTTTAATTATACATGTCACTTAGACCTAGTAGAATATCACATACAATTGTTTACTATTTTTAATTATACGTGTAATACAGAAAAGTCCTAAATAATATAAATATTTAAATAAAAAAACTCTAAAGAAACGTAGAATTGACAAAAAAGCCAATTATTAAACAAAATATAATATTAATGTAAAAGAAACTAAAGTGCATAAAACAACACGAAGGTGATTTTTTCAATTATTAAAATGCATTGTAATATTACAGTTTTCGAATTTAAATTTTTTCTCTTGAAGCGAAGTGTCCTTTGGCAAGAATTCTGATGGTTCATCAGACTCATCAGTATTTTTATCGTCAATTTTAAGACGTTTGGAAGATGAAACATCAATCGGTGTTTGCTTGGAAGATGACGGGCCGTTAATCGTTTTAGAAAACATATTACTGATCTCGGTTTTATTATACATAGATTCTTCTATGTAGCCTTGTGCCACGGCATCACTTTTCCAACCTCCCAACCGTCTTAAGGTTGTCATATTTGCACCTGCATCCACCAATATCGTAGCTGAGCTCCTCCTGAAGCTGTGCCCAGTGTAATTTTTATAATCCTCCAGCTTTAAAAATTGTGCAATTTTCTGCGGCACTTTGGCAATTTTATTTTTGCCTATAACCTATAAACAATGAAACATAATATAAGTAGCAGTATGTACTATTGTCTTATTTTTAAAACCACTAATTTTTTGATAGTTAAGTTCTTAGATAATTGCAAAAAATATATTATACCTGAACAGTACATTTTCCTGATTGGTAATTTAAAAAAAATCGGTCGGTAGTGACATTCTTCGGACGGAGGTTTATATATTTTTCTAAATACGAGCTAAATTGCTCGGGAATAACAAACGATTGCGGATTCAAGTTTTTCGTTACACGAACTTTGATTAAATACAGGGAACCTTGGCGTTCAACATCTTTGGTAGTTACCTTGACCAGTTCATCTCCACGAAGAGCTCCAAATATCCCAAAAATTGCAATGACCTAAATACATAGTTTATAAATTAAAAAACTAATTATTTACTTATTATTAAAAACACTTATTAGATTATTATTAAAAACATAATTATTTGTTTAATATTAAAAAGAATTTTTTAATTATTATTAAAAACATAATTATTTAAAATAATTTTCTTTATATTAATTTAGTAGTTTTAAATAATTTTCAAAATAACTAAATGCACTTTTAACTATTTTATCTTTTTTTATTGTTCAGTTGCACGTAAATAATATTTACTAGTGTTTATATTTTATGCATGTTACACATTATATATCTATATATTTATTTATTAATTATTTTTATATACTACTAGCTGTCGTACCCGTCTTCGACGGGTTGTAGTTTCTGATAATGCACTTAACAGTGTATCTACCAACCTAGAAAACCGGAAAATAGCCGGGAATTTGATTTGACAGGGAAAAAATAATAATTAGTTACTATTGTCTATTTCATTAGGAAAATAATACCATTTGAAACAGTGACCGACTTTTTATTATCAAATTAGTTATTTTTAACTAATTCAAATGCAGAAAACAATATTTCTCAATTTGTAGTACTTCAATCAATATAATGTATTAAAATAAATCTAAAATTTCCTCCAGTTTTTTGAGTTATAGTACAGTCTAATTCGAACTAATTGTATAGCAAGTAGATCCAGTTTTTCTCGGTTACATTAAATTCCCTGATATTTTACGTCTTTTCTGTTTGGTAAACACCCTGTTAAATGTATTATTAAAAAAAACCCGTCCAGTAAACCAGGAAAAATTTGGACAAAGCCGGAAATTGTTTTAAACCAAAATAAACACCGTGTTTAACTTTTGTCTTTACATTGATCAAGATATCTCTAAAAGTTAAATCAGAGAGCCCACAAATACTACTGAATTAAGCTTCATAGCAATTGGTATCAATTATAATTTTTTCAATTTTTTGATATTCAAAACATTTTTATACTTACATCTTCGTTATAAGAAAGTATTTTTGAAAAATTATGCTAAAATGTGACTAAATAACATGTAATACTCAACTATAGAAAGTTTAGAAGCAATCCATGAAAAAATATAAAATTTAGAAATGATTTGTGTTAAATAAATTTATTTATTAGAGTCAAGTATTTATTTAATTAATCCAATTAAGATTTATTTGATTCAACTAAATAAAATTATTTAAACGAAATAAATTCTTATTAGATCGAAATAAAAACTTTTTAAATAAGATATTATTTTTCAAATAATTATAATTACTTGAATCATATAACTTTTTTTAGTGTAGCTATAGTAAACTAAAAGTTATTAATGTGAACGAACATTATCTATATTAATAAAATCAGATTACTATCTGTACATTGCTCCAAACTTGAAAATTTTTATATATTTTTTCGTTTTGAAACATTAGAATTCTAAAAATGTAAAAAAAATTTCTGTCTGTCTGTCTCTGTCTGTATGCAAAACTTTGTTCGCGCATCAATTGAAAACGGTTCAACCAATTAAAGTGAAATTTGGCAGTCTATTAGGTATTAAAGTAACTTACAATCATAGCCTTATCCGATTAAAAAATATTAACTTGAACAAAAGTTATGACATTTTTCCAAAAAATTCAAAAAAACAAAAAAATGCAAATTTTTTATCTTTTGTAAAATGAATGAAAAAACTATCCTTAGCTAACTTTTTCAGATAAATACAACCCATTTCTACGATAAAATTTTTAAAAAAGATGTATTTTGAAATTTTTTTTTCGTTTTTTTAGATCAACTTTTTTCTAAGAAAATAGTGATTTTTAATCTTTAAGCAAGCTTTTCAGGAAAAGTTATTAAAGTTTTTTATTTAAAGATCAGTATGTAAAGTAAAAAATTTGCTACATTAAACAAAAATAATTAGCTAAATGCCATAAAAAAGAAGGAAAAATGTTGAATTTTAAGAAATTCGGTTTTTTGAATTTTTGATAATTTTCCATAATTTTAGATTTTTTACCGAAGGGTGGAGATAACAAATTAGGTAAAGTATTTTTTAAGAGCACAAAAATAATAAAGCTAAATGCCATAAAAAGAAGGAAAAATGTTTAATTTTAAGAAATTCATTTTTTTGCATTTTTGCTATTTTTCCATAATTTTAGATTTTTTACCAAAGGGTGGAGATAACAAATTAGGTAAAGTATTTTTGAAGAGCCCAAAAATAATGAAGCCAAAAGCCATAGAAGAGAAGAAAAAATGTTGAATTTTAATAAATTCGGTTTTATGAATTTTTGCTAATTTTCCATAATTTTAGTTTTTTTACCAAAGGGTGGAGACTATTAAATATAAGTAAAGTATTTTTGAAGAGTACAAAAATAATGAAGCTTAATGATATAAAAGAGAAGAAAAAAATGTTAAATTTTAAGAAATTCGGTTTCTCGAATTTTTGATAATTTTTGATTTTTTGCTAAAGGGTGGAGACTATTCAAATAGTATAATTATACTACCGAAATAGCTAATGGTAACTAATTATTAATTAATTAATTATTAACTAATTATTAATTATTATTAATTAACTAATTATTAATTATTAATTATTAATTATTAATTATTAATTAATTTATCCCGGGTATTTTTGATTTTCCGCAGATTGGTAGAAACATTGTTAAATGTATTGGTAGAAACTAAAACCCGTCGAAGACGGGTACGACATGACAGCTAGTGCTATATATTTTCAAAATTTTTAAAATTCAAAATTTATCTTTTGAAATAATTATTGTCATTAATTTTACTTAAATTTTATACAGGGTTAATTTTAGTATTTTTTATTACAATTTAGTCATCAGAATGAAATTTGAGTTTTTCATTTTTTGATCATTAATTAATAAAATATATTAGCAATTTTGAATTCTGTGCAACATACTGACAAAAGTCTCATATTAATTATATGGATATTGTTAATATTCTGACCTAATAGAATTCTTTTAAGAAAGTAAACTTATGATTTCAACAACAAATTTTTATTGTTGACCTAAGAAATACAACCGTATAAAAATTAATTACAAAAAAATTTCAATTTTTAAACTTTTAATTTTTCAATATTTAAATCTAACACTTTTTATTTGTTATTCAAAATGTTATTATTCTGACGATTAAATCTTCATAAAAAACACTAAAATTAACCCTGTACCAAGTTTAAGTACAATTCACTAAAGTATATGAAAAAACTAAAAATTTCGAATTTTCGAATTTTTGAAAAAATGGCATAACTTTCGTCTATATTAATATTTTTTAATCTACTATCGCTAGGATTTTAAGTTAGGCTAATGCCTAAAAGACTGCCAAGTTTCACTTCAAACGATCGAACCGTTTTTCCGTGATACGCGGTCGAAAATTTGCGGACATACATACACACATACACACATACACACATATACACATACACACATAATTTTCTTAATAGTATTTTCGCATTCCTTAGAGTGTAAAAAGAAGGAATATAATAGAAATTTTGAATTCTATGCAATGTACAGACAAAAGTCTGATTTTATTAATAAGGATATTTTTATATTTTCATAGATCTTATATTTTATGAACACATTTTAAATCATATTTTTTAAATAAATGTAATGAAAGCGAATTAAAATATGATTATAATAGAATTTCACTGATAAGTGTAAATTTTTGTATAATTTTATCAATTTTACCTTTTTATCCAAGTCATGAAGATCGGGAGCATCGTTGAGAAAAGTTTGTATGTATTTCGTTAGCAGAAAATACTTTGGATTTTTTTGCATAGTAGCCACGGTTTTTTTGCTTTATGAACGCTTGAGTTTCGACATATTTCTGGATATCTATTTTTTCATTTAGGTTTATCATCGCCTTTAACATCGAAAATTGTGAAAACAAAGTGGGTGGTTGGTAATGCTCTGATAAATGTTTAAAACATGCCAAAATAACTTGTTCGTTGGTTTTTTCAACTTTTTTTGATTTCTTCCACTCAACGTACACATCGTAAATGTTTTCATAGATTTGTCTTGACTTTTCTGGCAGAATTTCATTCAATGCAGAATCAGCAATTTCTGCAATTTCAGGTGGCACACCATCGAAACAATTTTCACTATCACTCATGTTTAACTTTAAAGACGATAACCGGCGACGCTTGGGAATCAGAATACAGAAGCAGCCATTTGCAATTTTCCGAGTAGCGTTCATTCACGTTATATACGGTTTCATCCGAGAATACTCGAATTCTCCCGAGCGTGTAACGTGAATCGGAGGCGATTGGTTGCTTTGAATTGAGAAGCTACTACCCGTTCAGCATTATTTGTCCCTGCTAAAACAGATATTGTCCTGGTCAAAAATACATGCGCAGAGGTAAAAAAGCAGCATTTTTGACGAGAACATTCATTTTTACCCAGCTTTTTTTCCCTAGGGAGAAGAAGAATCTTTTTTCACCGTCAGTGAAAAATGAGTTAGTTTACGCCCTTTTTGACGCATGAAAAAGTGCCGTTTTCGTGCCTGAGGGATAAAAAAAAATTTTTTCTGAGGATTTTTTAAAGTCTAATAATCCATTTCGAGATATTTTTATGATAAATATACCTGGTAAATTTTAGCCAAATTCGTTAACATCTTCGAGTTATCGTGTTCACAAAAAACGGGATCCACACACACACATCCGGACAATTGTTCAGGGTCTTATATAACATAATCCTATATAGGGTAACGGGTACAGTGACCGACACCCATTCAGTGAACGACACCCCCAATTAGAAATCGCAATAAATATAAAACAAAACATTGTTAATGAATATTTTAAAAATATTAATATTATAAAATACAATAAATGGAAGCTATTAAAGTAGTAGCAATATTTAATTTATTTTTATTTTTAACAGCATTTTACTTTCTGTGAAGATAACCTCAAAAAGTGAATTTTGAGGTTATCTCCATAGAACTTGAAATTTTATCCATAATATTAACATTTTTCAAATATACATTAATAATGCTTTGTTTTATATTTATTGCAATTTGTACATGATTTTTAATTGGGGGTGTCGTTCACGGAATGGGTGTCGGTCACTGTACCCGTTACCCTAGAAGAAAATTTGTTAAAAGGATTTTTAATAATTTTGTAAATTAAACGACTACAAAGCTTCCTCCACGAGGAAGCAAAAACAAAAGAATAATCATGACTAACTTCAGGCGTGAACAGGATGAAAGAAAGAATAAGACGATTATTATAGTTAATAATAATAATTTAAAATTCTTTTTCTTTACAGAATTCACGACCTCCTCTTCTACTTCCACCGACAAAACAACCAGTTAATCAGCGATTACTCGAGACCAAAGAAAATCGTCCATCAACATCGTCCGGAACAACGCCTTCTAGTCCAAAACGCGCCCAAAAACGACAATTAACCGATCAACTGGATTCGCCAAAGGGTTTCACGAAAATACGTCTTCAACGGCCCACATCACCGGAATCGCCAAATACGACAATTAAACTCGAACCACTTGATATACCATTGAGTCCTGGAGGAATGTTCTCGGACAATAATCTCATGGGTGACCTTCATGAGGAGGAGGATCCCGGCGGGAGTATTCAGGACAATGACGACGATCGTGACATGAATTTTGGTACAATTGACGGTCCCTCGGATTTAACGGACGCCGATGATCAAATGGAATTTGTGCCCTCGGATTTTTTGGATCAGGAACACGATATTGTCGAGGATGTTGAACCCGAGGCGTGTTTAAGTGAACGCGATGAGGAATCGAGAAAATCAGGATATAGCGAAGACTGCGATCAATATGAAATTGACGATAAAGTGAAATTTGAGAAAAGAGCTAAATTCGAGGAGAGCAATAAACTAATGGCGGAGAAATTAATAATAAAAAAAGATGAAGTGTGATAGAAATTTTGTTCGCAATGGACAAGTGACAATATTTGTCACAAGAAATGTAATTTTAGTTTTAGTTTTTCATCTTTTAAGTTTAAAGGAAAAGTAACATTTTCAGTTTTTTTCATCTAAGGATTTTTTTTTATTTTTGGTATTTTGTATTAAGGTACCAAGTACAATTTCAAGAGAATTCGTTTGCAGTGAATTGTGTAGAATTTCTGTGTAGTGTTGCAAATTTCACTTAAGTAATTAACAAAATAAAATAAAAAGTTTTAATTTAATCTTGTAATATGTATAATAATACAGATCTGTTAAAAAGAATTCGAAAAACTAAAAGTTTATCGTCATTGATGATCAGAAAGTACATGTACAATGTAATGATATATATAGAAGCAATATATCTTATGAACACAACGCTAATTTGTGTATAATTGAGAAAATATTCGAATTTAGGAAGTATTCTACAAAGAATTGGAACAAAAGTTAGTCAAATGTCATAATTTCGTATTTTATACACTGAAAAAAAAAGTTCATTGAATCAAGTAAATGCATTTTCTTGACCTGATTTATTTGAAACAAACCCATATTTTCTTATTGGAAGAAATTTATTTTCTTGTGTCAAGTAATTTTGAGCATTGATTAAAGTTATTGAAATAAGAAAATATGGGTTTGACATAAGTAAATATCTTACTGTTTCAAACGAACTGTTTTACATGCGCCAAGTCTCGAAAAAGTATTGAATCAAGAATATCATTTTCTCACGTCAAGTAATTTACCTTGAGTCATTTGGTATCTTGAGTCAAATAATTTTTTTATTTCTTTTAAAGCAACTATTTATTTCATCTAACACCCATAGTCTTGAGCCAAGAAAATGGGAAGATTAATACAAGTTAATAATTGTTTCAACTCAATTAAAAATTATTTTGTTTCAAAGAAATATTAATTAATCTAAGCATTACTTTTACTTGAAGCATTTCTATATTCTCATGTTTCAAAATCATTAATTTCTTGCGAGAATGTTATATTTTCTGGAATGAAATATTTTATTTATTCAATTCAATTAAGTGTAAGATCTTGAATTAAATCATTCTTTTGTTTCCTTTAAAAAAGTTTTTACTTAATTCAACGCTCATATAATCCTGATTTAAGAAAATACGAAGGTTAATATAAGTAAATATTTGTTTCAAGTTGATTAAAAATTATATTCAATTAATCCCATATTTATTTGAAGAAAGAAATTCATTTTCTTTTGTCAAGTAATTATTAGCATTGAACAGAATTCTTGAATTAACAATTTAGTATTTGGCAGAACTCAATATGTAATTATTTCAACCAAATATTTTACTTTTCCGAAGTACCAAAAAGTATTGAATCTAGAATATCATGTTCTTAAGCGAAATAATAAAGTATTGTGTGGAGAATTCATGTTTCTTGAATCGAATCATTTTATTTATTTGCTTTAAAACTTTTTTTTACTTAACACAATGCCAGTGTTCTTGATCCAAGAAAATATTTTTCTTCAAATGTATATGCAACTTAAATATCAGTTTTCGAAAACTGTCCATTGAGGCTAGGATGGCATAGTGGTAGCGTGACGGCTTCTGGTGCGTGCAACCCGAGTTCAATTCCTCCGACCGTTGAAAATTTTCTTTCAAGGTATATTTGTTGTATTTGTGTTAAGTAATAATTAAATGTAAATACATATGTAAAATAACAATTATTTAATTATTTAAATAAAAAATATAAATGTTAATTAATTAAATAATAAAAATGTTTGACCTAAGTATTAGAAAAGATGGGATGGGGGTAAGGGGGGAGGGGTAATCCTTTCTAAAAAAATGCAAAGCAGAAAAAGCTCGAATTGAAAAAAGTCGAACTCGAAAAGTATCGAAGCAAGAAATAAGCATAGAGAATAAAAAAGAACATAGATAGCGCACCTCACACTCTAAATGTAAACGAAATAGATGGAGCTGTCTTAGGTTTGTCTGGTTTATCTCAAGAAAAATTTATAAATAAAATGATTTTATTTATAAATAAAATGAAATCATAAATAAAAAAGAAGGATATCAAATAATAAAAATATAATAATTAAAAATATAAAATAGAATTTAATTAAAAATTAAAATAGAATTAAGAATAAAGCAGCAACAAAGTCGACCGCCAAGCGGTCGACGAGGGCTCTGGTTTTATATAAAAAATTATTAAATTAAAAAACTGAACATTAGAACTTTTAAAAATTGAACAAAAATGAAGAAGGAATAGAAGCAACGAAGACGGCCGAAGGCCGTCTGAGGCGCTAGTTTAAGTAAATAATTTACTTGTATTGAGAAAGTATTTTTTTGATTGAAATCTATAAATTTTCTCAAATCAAGAAAATATTTTCTCGGACAGAGAACATACTTTCTTGATTTGATACATAAATGATTTTGAATTAATATATTCTGCATTTCTTACATGCTACTTAATTTCTTGATCGAATTCCATATTTTCTTGGATCAAGAATATCTGCGTTCTCTCACAAAATAAATGTTTTCTTCATTTAAATCTTGAATTACTTGAACGAATGTTACAAAAAATTGAATGAATCAAAATATATATTCTTAGAACAAGAAAATATTTTATTCATTTAATACATTTCATACTTCGTATAAGAAGACTAACTTCTTGGTCAAATTCCATATTTTCTTGGATCAAGAATATATGTTCTTCTCCCAAATATCCTATGTCAAGAAAATCGTTTTCTTGAATCAATACTTTAATAGTCTTGGCCGTATTCAATCCCACGATTTGCTTCAACCAAGAAAAATTTTCTTGGTTCAATACTTTTTTTTTCAGTGTACAAGAAAAAGTTAAACCCACTAAATTCTATTTAGTGGAAAGTTAAAGAATTTAATTTTCAATATTTTAGACAACTGAAAGTTGCATTTGAATAAAAATTACAATTTTCTGACAATAAGAAACGATTTATGTAACGTAAACTAAAAAATATCTCTTAATAACAAAATTGTATTCGTTTGTCTTATTAGAAAATTTAAATTTTTATTCAAATGCAACTTTTAATTGATTACATTATTGGAAATTGTATTCCTTACGCTTCTACTAAAACAAATTTAAAATTTAATCTATCTTTTTCTTTTTAAAATACGAAATTATTGTAAGTGTCGCATTTTTCTGCATCGAAGTCTTTCGTGAGAGTTCAGAAAAAAAATGAGATTCGAAGAGGTGAATCATCTTCATTCGATCATCTTTGATAAATCCTAATGAGTAAGTACCGAAAAGTATAATTAATTCTTTTCTAATAATGAACAATCGTTGTATTCCGTTAATTTGATCGCAGTTAGTTTTTGTTTGCTTCTTTGTTTTCTAACTTTTTAAATAATCTTTCTCTTTAAATACGCATTTTCAATTTTAAAATTAATATACTGAAAATCATTGAATTCTTGCAAAGAATTTTATCAAAAAATTTGAGAATAATTGAATTTCTTCGAAGAATTTTATTATTTATGAAAATAATTAAATTCTTGCAAAGAGTTTTATAAAAAATTTGGGAATAATTGAATTTCTTCGAAGAATTTTATTATTTATGAAAATAATTGAATTCTTGACTAGAATTTTATTAAAATTTTTGAAAATCCTAATTAAATTCTTTTAAAGAATTTCTTCCAATTTTTTTTAATTAAAGGAGTTTCTTTAATAATTTTAATTAAAAAATATGACAGTAATTGAATTTTATGAACAATTTCTTTCAAGTTTTTAAAATAATCGTGTTTCTTAATAATTGAAATTAAACAATTTAATTATTAAATTTTATTAAAATTTTTAGAAAATTATTAAATTCTTCTCAGAATTTTATTACAATTTGTCTAAAATAATTTAATTAATTTAAGAAATTTTATTAAAATATAGAAAATAATTGAAATCTTTCGAAAAATTTTATTAAAAATTGAAATAAATTGAATTGTTTCACAGGATTTTTTATAATTTTAGAAAATAATTTATTATAAATTTTAATAAAACATAACCGAATTCTTATTTATATTTCTTTAAAAAATTTTGTGCCAAATAAAATTATTTTGAAATTGGAAATTACAAATTCATTTGCAACAAAAATTAATAGTTCAAGTTTTTCAATTATTAATAAAATTAGTAAAACTAAAGAAAATAAAAATAGAAAAGATTAATAATTAAAATTATACAAGATAATTATAAACAAAAAAAAATACGAAAAAACTTCGACACGAAAATTTCAACAATCAATTATTTATGAATTAAAAAGAAAATAAGAAAGAGATAAAACGTTCTTCTTCCATATTTATTTTATTTAATACATATACCTAAATATCTACATATTTTTCCTTTTAAAAATTTAAATAGCAAAATATTAATTAAATTCTTATTATTGTTCAAGCATTAATGTCAACTACTCCCATAAAATTATTATTCTAAAACATTTTCAAGACATTTCCATTATTCAGATATTACTGTCCATTATTGTACATTATTTTAAACAAGAATCATTGTTTATAACTTTTTAATTTTAATTAGAAAAATATTAAAATTATTCCAATTAAAATATGTATTTAGACATAGGATTTATTATAAATTAATAAAAAGGTATTAATTTCAACAATTTTTTTTCTTGTGTCTGATTCAGTGACATTTAAACGGAACACATCCTCGTCAGGAACAGGAAGAAAATTACATAAAAAATAATGACTTAAATCAGTAAAAATGGTGTTAATTATCGGAGTGTCTATTTGGCCCGTCAGCGGGCCAAATACGTTACTTTTATTATTTGGCCCGTCACCCCAGTTCCATACATTTCAAGACGGGCCAAATAAAAAAAGTAGTTTATTTGGCCCGTCAGATAATAAATTAGCTGTAATTAATAACAATAGATTACTATTATTACTATTTATACAAATAGATTAATTTAATCACCAGGTATAAAGGAATCAACAAAAATTTAGTTTTAACACAAACTTACAAATATGTAGTAATTTATTCTAAATTATAAAATTAATAAAATTAATTTTCGGTCTCAAAAATAAAAATTAATTACACGAATGCAATTTTAATTATATTTATAATATAATTTTGTCATTAACCAACAGTGGAACAAAAAATGTTTTGAAAACTTGATTTTTTTATTTAACATAACCTCACTTTTTCGAGTGAAGAAAAAAAAAAAAAAAAAAAAAAAAAAGTGACTTTTTCGAGTTTTTTTTCCCTATATTAAAGAACCAGTTGAGACTAGTAGAAATTGAACATGGATCTACTGGTGTCAACTTGCTTTCCAAATTGAAAAACTTTTCCGTGTAGCAATTCTACTGGTTTTAACTTGTAAATCCTATTTATGTAACTGAAACGGATATCCAAGATAAAATTGAAATGGTTCTATCTTGAATTGTCCTCTTCAATTTTTTTTTGACTTGTTTTAACATGGATTTCCAATCTTATCATTTCTACTTGTATTTCCAAGTTCGCACGTACTACAAGTATCAGCTTGCATTTCCAAATACAAAATTAAGTTCAAGTATCTACTGGGTTCAATTTGGATTCTCGAATACTACATTTCACTTGTCCTGTCAAATTAAAAATCAACAAGCTTGAGTTTGGAACTTCCAACTCTAAATTTATATAGCACAGTGAAGGATTAATGTCATCTTGGTTTAATTTGAATCGGGGATGCATTCTATTTGGAATTTCAAGTTCAAATTTAAAGAGTTTGATTAATCGCTAATTGGAATTCATAAAATTGTCATTTTCGCCAATTGTTATTTTTGCAAAGAATTATTATTACAAATTTACATTTTTACAAATATTTATTTTAGTTAACTGTTATTTTGCAAATTTTATTTTTGCAAACTTGCATTCTTCGCAATTGACAGTTTTACAAATTGGTAGATACTTTTGCTAATTGTTATTTTTTGCGAAACTGCTTTATTGTGAATCATTATTTCTGCTAATTGTTGTTTTGCAAATTTTATTTTTGCGAATTTGCATTTCTCGAATTGATATTTTTATGAATTTGTTACTATTGCTATTTGTAATTTTGTGAATTTTGTAATTTTATGAAAATCTGTAGTTCACAATCAATGGAATTTTTTTAACACAGTTGAGTCATTTTAATTGTAATGAATGTTCTGTTTTTTATTTCGCTAAATGTTATTTTTTGCAAATTTTTGCAAAAAAATTACAACGCGGTCAAATGACATTTGAGCAGAAACTTATTAAATATTTGATTAATTAATATTTTTAACATAATAGCATATATTGCAAATCTATATAAATATCTTAAATTCTGCTTGCATTTTTATAGGTACTTACAAAAAGTATAATATTTTACATAAACTTACGTTTTTCAAAGTTGCAGTTTATATAGACAGGTCGAAAAATATTTCTCACGTCGATTCGATAGCCGCGGTCGTTAAGCGTTTAGATAGATAGGTCATAGCCCTACTAAAAATCCCTGTATAAGATCTTGTACAAGAAAATGCACACGTTCAGCAGCTGAACTTGTACAAGTTCTGGTTAGAAAATGTACAATTTCTTGTACCAGGATTTGGAACAAGTTCTTGTATTAGAACTAGTACAAGAAAATGTACGAGTACTTGTACAAGAAAATAAACTTGCACATGAACCCGTACAAGATTTTGTACAAGATCTTGTACGGGTTCATGTGCAAGTACTTGTATATTTTCTTTAAACATTATTTTTAAGTTGTAAAAATTAAAAACATTAAAGGCTGCGCAGTAGCTTTTATAAGCTTTTAGAGCTGCGCAATAGTTTTTGGCTTGCCTAAAGTGGAGAGTCTTAATGCTTATAACCCAGTAAAAAAAAAAGTATTCAGAATAGAGAAAAAGTATTGGTGGAGACGTTCGGTGAATGCGTTTTCGCGACAAAACCGTATTGGTGGGTCACGGTGAATACATTTCGCTTACCGTGAATACTTTTTTTAAAAACTTTCGATTTAAAGATTCCTAAGCAAAGTTGAGAATATTTATAAAGAGCGTAAGTGACCTGAAGTATAAAAATGACTATTGCGAGAAGGAAATAAGAAATTTAAAAAAAAAACGAAAAATTAAATGTGACAAACAGATTGTCAAATGTTGATCAATTACCATATGCTTTTCTGTGCCTACAACGTATGATGATTAAAAGGAACTTTGACGTTACCGACGGAACTTACTGTTTCACATACATTTACTTGGATTTCTCAAGTTTCTGTCGGTATCGTCAATGTTCCTTTTCATCATCATACGTTGTAGGTTTGTCACATTTAATTTTTCGTTTTTTCTCAAAATTTCTTATTTCCTTCTCGCAATCGTCATTTTTATACTTCAGATCACTTACGCTCTTTATAAATATTCTCAACTTTGCTTAGGAATCTTTAAATCGAGAGTTTAAAAAAAAAGTATTCACGGTAAGCGAAATGTATTCACCGTGACCCACCAATACGGTTTTGTCGCGAAAACGCATTCACCGAACGTCTCCACCAATACTTTTTCTCTATTCTGAATACTTTTTTTTTTACTGGGAAGTTATTGAAATGCCAATTTAAAAAAAAAAAAATTATTTATTAATTTACTTGATCCAATTTTCTAAAAAAAAATTATTTATAAATATACTTGTGCAAGAACATGAACGTGTTCATGTACAAATACTTGTATTAGAACTTGTACAAGATCTTGTACAAGTTTATTTTCTTGTACAAGTACTCGTACATTTTCTTGTACAAGTTCTAATACAAGAACTTGTTCCAAATCCTGGTACAAGAAATTGTACATGTTCTTACCAGAACTTGTACAAGTTCAGCTGCTGAACGTGTGCATTTTCTTGTACAAGATCTTATACAGGGATTTTTAGTAGGGAGGTGCGGGGTTCGATTCCCATAGGGTACAAGTTTTAATTTAATTCTTCCAGTTTAATGAAAATGTTTGTATGTTTGGAGTGTGCTAAGAATATGAAGTTATTAATGGTCATAAGAATCTTTTATTATTTTTTCCACAAATATTTTTTTTCAAAACTATCTGTTCAATTGTAATCACCTTAGATTTCCAATTATGAATCGATATCCAAGTTGAAACAAGTTCATATTGTACAATGTAACCTACTTGGAATTTCCGGTTGACTGTAATGTTCAAACTGAAACCAGTTCATTTTGAACTTGACGACATTCCGAATTCAAACCAGCTGAAAATACATATCTACTGGTTTGAAATTGGAACTTACGTGACAATAACCAACTCAAAGCAAGTAGGCTCCTGATTCTACCCGGTTCTACTGGTTCTTTAATATAGGGATGTTTAAACTAAATGTTTTTTTACAAATGTATTGAGTAAATTGTCGAAAGGTATAGAAACTGATTATATTTTGCAATGAGGAAAACAAAAGTTATATTTCATTTTACTTGTTCGAAGATACTTAGTTACTTGTAGTACCGCAACTTGTTGCTAGATGACGCCACTGTTTAGAGATAGAAAAAGTCGGACGCTCTACTCTCTCTTTCTATCCTTACCTTAGCTCATGATCCAAGTAACAAGGTCTCGCCACGCGCAGGCAAAAAAAACGTGGAACCAAGCACCAATCAGAATGCGGACGAAGTGACGACCATATTGAAAGTCTAGCCGCGTATTTTTAAATGTGTTTCAAATCCAGAAAATAAGATTGTTATTGTTATTAATATATTTTTATTTTTAATAATAAATATTATTAATTGTTATTATTAATATTAATACGTATAAAATTATTGATAATAATAATAATAAATATTACAATAAATAGTAATTAATATTAATAAATTATTATGAATGTTATTTTATTTTTAATAATAATTATTATTTTTAATTATTGTTAATATTAATAAATATAAAGTTATTAATAATAATAATAAATATTGCAATAAATAGTAATTTGATTTTCAAGATTCCAAGCAACCAATATATGTGAATGTTATGTATCAAGTTAATAATAAGTATTTAATAAAAAATATTAATATTTAATAAAGAATTATTTTACTTTTAATTTATTATTCTTTATGTTCTTTAAATTTGTTTCTGTATTTGATTCAAAATTTAGCGCTTCAATATGGTCGTCGCTTCAGGTAATCGCTATGATTGGTCGGCTTTTTTATGGTGCGCGAACCGAGTTAAAATTGAGCCCGACTTTGGCGAGACCTTGTTACTTGGATCATGCCTTAGCTGCTCTTTACTTCATTCGTTTCTTGGCGTTAGTGACGACCACTTCGTGAAAATAGTGAAAATGGAGGACAAGGACGCTAGGACTGCGAGGGAGGAGAAGCAGGAGCTTCTTAGGAACCTTGAACAACAAATGAATACTGTCTATGGAGAATTGGCAGAAATGGATGATTCGGAAGAATTAAATTTTGAAGGTAAAAATTTAGTTTCCCGTTCTTCGTCACAGACGAACTTTGCCAACAAAGAGACCGAGCTTCAGTCTAGAACTTTAGCCGTGGGTCAAAATAAATATCTGATCCTTAAACAAGAGTTAAGGACGGATTCTTTTCTTTCCTCTAATTCAAATAACATCCTTCATCAGGTAAATAAATTTCCTTTTTATTCTTCAGACGTGTTAAAACACGAAAAAATGGCGGACAAAGAAAGAATGGCTGACGACATGCCAGTCACCGAGGACGGGTCAGACAACGAAGTCGATTGGTTTTTGGGTTGCAACCCTGTTGAAGCGGAGGAAGAGCTTAAATTAAGTCCGGATATTTTAAATAGAATAAAATTTTGATTGAAAGAAGGAATCGGCAAAAAAGAGGAAAAAGAAAATTTAATAGCATCAGTTCCTACAAAGGGGGCGTTAAATTTAGTAGCACCTCTTCTTAACCAAGAGATCACAGTCGATATTCACCCAAAAGTGTTATCAAGGGATGAACACTTTAAGAATTATCAAAATTTGACTGGAGCATCGTTGGCACTTTGGCAGGAGTTGCATTGGTGCTCTCTGCCATTCTTGACGATGCTGATAACCCTTTGGATCGCGAATTCGTTTTAAAAAATCTTTCGAATTCTGTAAAATTATTATCAGAATTATTCTCCGTTCTAACACAGTCGCGCAAGACTTTCCTCGTTGGTAGATATGAAGAAAGAATTCAAAGAGTCTTAAAAAAAGTGGAACCAACTACCTTCCTGTTTGGTGACAATTTAAAATCCCTGATAGAGACGTCGAAGGCTATGGAGAAAGTATCGAAAGATTTGAAATTGAAACCTAAATCAAATTTTAAAACTCCTATCAGGACTTTAAACTGGCGCAGCTCCACCTTTAAGAAGGAGGCGAGTCGGGGGAGCTCCAGTTTAAATCACAACACCTCCAGGAACCAGCAAAACAACTTTGGCAGTCAAAAGAATCCGTCGAGGAAATTCTACTCCCAGTCTCAGCCACAGAGAACCAGGAAGTAGTCGATAAAGTAAGAACCGCTTCAAGATTGAAATATTTTCTTAATAATTGGGCCCAAATTACTAAGGATAGTTTTATCTTGGGTATTATTAAAGGTTATAGAATAAATTTTGAGTATAAGATTTTCCAGAAAGAGGAACCTCATTTCTTAAATCCAAATGCAGATTTAGATTTAGCAATTGAAAAATTAGAAAATTCCGGTGCCATCGAAAAATGTTCAGTAACAAAAGATCAGTTAATATCTCCCTATTTTTTAGTAGACAAGCCTGATAAATCAAAAAGATTTATTTTAAACTTAAAGGGTTTAAACAGGTTTATTAAAAAAGAACATTTCAAATTGAGGACATTCGGACAGCGGTCAATTTACTTTACGAGGGTGATTTTTTATGTAGAATAGATCTTAGCGATGCATATCTGCGCGTCCCGATGTGTGAAGATCACAAAAAATACCTCAGATTTAGATATCGAGGAAATTTATATCAATTCAACGCCCTTCCGTTCGGTTTAACGTCCGCCCCTTTCATTTTTACAAAATTAGGAAAACCAATTTTAAACTATTTAAGACGAAAGGGAATTAGAATCGTGGTTTATCTCGACGATTTTTTAATTTTTGGGGTTTCGGAACAGGAATGTATTAATAATACAAAACAGTTATCTGATTTATTGTTTTTTCTGGGCTTACGCGTTAACTTAGAAAAGAGTGAATTAATTCCGAAACGAACTTGTAAATTCCTGGGTATGATTATCAATTCTGTGGATATGACATTAGAATTACCTATAGAAAAACGATTAAAAATTAAAAACATGTTTTCCAGGTTATTGTCAAGCCAAAAATTAACAGTTTGAACTGTTTGACTTAGCAGAAAGTATAGGTGTTTTAGTAGCAGCTTGCCCTGCCGTGGCTTATGGCTGGTTATATTATAAGGAACTCGAATTAGTAAAAAGAAATGCGTTAAAATTTTTCAACAACGATCCGAATAATCTCACAGAATTATCTACCGATGCGATTATGGAATTGCAATGGTGGTATTCTCAAATTTTGATTACTAAAAACAAGATTAGATCAAACAGTTTCGATCTCGAGATTTTTTCTGATGCATCTAAATCTGGTTGGGGAGCTACCTGTGGTAATGAGAAGGCAAACAGCCTGTTGAGTAAAGAGGAGAGATTAATGCACATTAATTATCTCGAGATTAAAGCTGCCTTTTTAGCTTTAAAATGTTTTGCTTCCTCTCTTTTGAACCAACAGATTCTTTTGAGAATTGATAATATTACCGCATTGGCCTATATTAATAAAATGGGGGAATAAAACATAGAAATTTACACATAATGTCAAAACAAATTTGGGAATGGTGTCAAATTCGTAAAATTTGGTTATTTGCCGAATATGTCGCTTCTAAGGATAACCCTGCAGATGAGGGCTCCAGAATTTCAAACCTGGACACAGAGTGGGAATTAGCCAATCATGCCTTTAATATAGTGAAAAAAGAATTAGGAAATCCCACAATCGACCTATTTGCTTCACGAATTAATAAAAAATGCCCCAGGTATTGTTCTTGGGAAAGAGATCCCGGCGCTATAGCAATCAATGCTTTCACGATCTCTTGGAAGCAGGAGCATTGGTATGCTTTCCCTCCTTTTGCTTTAATTAGCAGATTTCTAAAAAAAGTCAGAGAGGAAGGTTCTTCAGGCATTTTGGTTGTGCCACTTTGGACAGGCCAACCTTGGTTTCCGGTTTTTAATGAATAACGCATATCAAAATTAATTGTGTTTAAACCTTGTGATAACCTGTTACTTTCTCCTTGCAGGACTCTCACCCACCCGTTAGCAGAGGAACTTACCCTGGTTTCGGGTGTTGTATCCGGCAGGCGTTCGAGAAAAAGGGCTTGGACAGAGATACAATAGAAATAATGGTGGCATCTTTAGCTCCAGGTACGAATAAGCAATATGACTCGGCATTGAAGTATTGTTTGATTTTTTGCATTCAGGAAATTCAGGACCCTTTCCAAGCTAAAGAAAAAATAATTCTTAAGTGCTTAGCAAAAAGATACCACGAAGGAGCTGCCTACGGAACTTTGAATTCTTTAAGATCGGCAATTAACTTAATCAACACCTGCGAGATCAAGGATAGCCAGTCAATCAATCGTTTTTTCAAAGGAGTTTATAAACTTCGACCAACTGCCCCGAAGTATAATTCAACATGGGAGGTGGATGGAGTACTCAAGAAATTAAAGGCGAATGGAGTCCTTCCGAAACATTGAATTTAGAAACTTTAACGTACAAACTAGTGATGCTATTAGCATTGGGTTCTGCTTTTAGGGTTCAATCCCTTTCGTTTATCGAGTTAAATAACATAAAAATTCTTTCAGGTGGATTAGAAATTAGAATTTCTAAAATAGTTAAGACCTCCAGGCCAGGAGCCAACCAACCGTATGCTTTTTTTCCTTTCTTCGATGATCCAGATCTCTGTGTGGCAAAAGTTCTTTTAATTTATATCGATGTCACAAAAAACCTGAGAGGTTTTTCTCTTAAAAGTTCCTCACAAGCAGGTCAGCACACAGACCATTAGTCGTTGGCTGAAGTTATGTCTAAATCAGGACTCCCTACTAAAAATAAAATCAGGAATCGTCATGAATGGTCAGAATTTCTGAACATTCCTGAACAGTCTCACCACTTCTGACGTTTTCGAACGTTTCTCACCATTCCTAACCAAATACTTTCCAAGCTCCTCCCACTTTACTCCCACCATTTACGAAGCTGTGACCACTTCTGAAATTCCTGACCATTTCTGAAATTTTTGACTATTTCTGAAATGTGTGAACACATAACCTATAAAAATTTTGGTACATCTTTCTAATTTTGGTAAAGTCTCATGAAAATTTATATATACATATAAAATCTTTCAAATTTATTTTTTACATTTCAGAATACATCCCAGCAAACACGTTATATAAGTATTCTATAACAGTGAGGTCACAGTGTTATAGAACAGTTGTTCCTAACTAGTTATAGATCTGTGATATTACCTGATTGTAACAGAGTTCTAGAACATAGTTACAAGTTAGTTACAGAATATTTCTGTATTATGCTTATGTCACAGTTCTATCACAATGTGATGTAAGAGTTACATAACTTTAATGTCACACATTTTCTGTAACGGTTGTTCCAACCTTGTCCTATAACTGTGTAGGAACATTGTTATGTAACTGGTCTAATCATCTGTTGCAATGCAGTTCTGTAATATACTTGCAATTACAATTAAGAACATTTCTGTAACAACGTTACGTGTCAATTCTATAATGCCAAAGTCATAAATAACTAAAACTAACAATTGTCGTTCTAATCTAGTTCTGGAAATTTGTCCGAACAATGTGGTGTAGTTCATATAATTTTTAATATAATATAATTCATAATACTTTATAAAAAATACCTATATAGTAATTATTGACAACAAATTGCTTTCTTATTTCTTTTATAATACTATTAGTAGCATTTTTTACTCTATCTTTAAATTTTCTTCAGTTTTATTATTCTTCTATGGTGACTACCCAGTAAGAAACGAAAAATTGAAAAGGATTGAAATAATTCAAACTCTGTATGGTGTAGTAGAAATTATCCAATACTTTTGAATGCCATTTCTGTCCAATACTTTTCTATACCATGATAGGGCCACGTTTCGTCTAAAAATGAATGCTATTCAATTCTTTTTGTAATTTTTAACAAAGACAAAATTTTTTTCTGAATGCTTTCCAATTATCCCATCCGAAATTATTACAGCCTGTCATTATATCACTTTTCAATTTTTCATTGGAACCGCGTTTCTGCATGCATTCAAGCAATCTTCTGGATTTTTGTAATTTATAAGATACATACAGTGGCAGATTTTGTAAAAAGTGTTTGTGTTCAAAGAAAAACTTGCTGAAAAATTGATTGTTTACCAATTTAACGTCATTTAAACGAGTCAGGGCCGTTATTCTGTTAGACAATAAATCATAACCTAAAAATTTCAGAGACCTTTAAACACTTTTAACCCTCTTAACTGATAATTTAATAATTATTCCTTTTTAAAATAGCAAATAAATTCATGAGTGCGCAGTTATTTGAAAGTAATTGAACATTCTATATGTCAATAATATTAGTATTATATTATTATACTACTGTCGCGGAATTCAGAAGCATAGGGCAGAAATGGTATTCAAAAGGATAGAATTTTTTTAATGCTTCTTAATCTTTGCTTTCTTACTGGGTATTCAAGAGGATTGATATCGTTACTTTTCATATTGCTCTCACTGGATAGAAAAGTATTGGACAGAAATGGCATTCAAAAGAATAGAATCTTTTTAATACTTTTCAATTTTTCGTTTCTTACTGGGTATTTAAACAATATTACACGGAGAAAACTGGAGTATTCAACTAACTATCTGGAGGGACAAACAGACTATATTTGAGGTTAAGTTTTTCGTAAAAATCTCGGAGGGATAAATAGACACTCCGATGATTAATTTGACAAACTCGGAGGGAAAACTTAACTATCCACAGAATCAGGCTTAACACTCAAAACATAACCCTCTAAGTTTGACTATCCAGTTTTCTCAGTGTATTATGTATAAAAGTCTCATAAATGTTTTAATGGTGCATGTAATGTAATCGAGGGGGTATTTACTTGTGAAATTATTAACGTGTACGCTCCTCCCGTATGAGTCACGCAATAGAGTGTAATAGAGCATTATTACGTCAGTGTAGTACCACATATTATAGAGGTAATAATCAGTAATACCCTGTAATAGTTCTGTACACGGAGAAAAATTTATTTGTACTGATTACAATAGTCTATATTACTGCTCGGATATGTGACCACTTTTTGTTATAATTACTATAGCTGTTGTAAGGAGTACAAACATAAAGGTATCCCTTACAACAGCTATATAGTAATCGTTCCTACTAAATTCTTAACATATTACATAGTCTTCGTAATCATTCCAAAAAGTGATCACATATCCGAGCTGTAATGTAGACTATTGTAATCATTAAAAATAATTTTTCTCCGTGTAATACCCTATAATACTAGATAATACGCGTAATAGCAGGAAAATTTATTATTTTGTAAAATCTATTTATATTTAAATGAAAAGTTATAGAATATAAATTTGTTCTAAAAATTTAGAAATTTCATTAATTAAGCTTAAATTTATTGCTTTAATCTTTCATTTAAAAATTAATTTTTAAGCCTTTCCTTATACTTGTTACTTTGAAAATTTACATCTTTCAATTAACATTATTAAATATAATGTATATTATACATAACATAATTATACTATTGTTGCAAACACAGTATCCTTTTTCAAGTTACAAAGTACATTTTCATAGTTTTTTCGTTATATATGTAAATTCTAAACTTCCTTTCATGAGCCTCCGTGGCGCAGTTGGTAGAGCGTTTGATTTCTAATCCACTCCTAGCTGCGTCTTGCGTTCGAGACCTCGTGAGTGTAAATATTTAAATAAATAGCAAAACAAATTTTCTTCGACATGTATAAACATTCTGGGTATGTATGACATGCGAGAACAGCGTGGAATATTTTTTTAATTTTAATTCAAATATTTTTTAATGACAGATATGAGTAACATATATTTGTAACTGTTCTAGAACTGTGACAAGTATCTTTGTCACCATGTTACAGATCTGTTACTTAACTGTGACATCCCCCTGACTACGACATTTTGCGTATCCAGTGAGTCCCCTGTGAGTCACCAGTTACAGAACATGTTCTTCAATTATTTGTCACAGTTCTGTAACAGATCTGTAACAGTGTTTGCTGGGATTATTCTATTATAAAAATTGTTCTTTTAACTTAACAAAAGTTCTCATTTTTCAAATTGGTATAATTATTGAATTAATTATACAGCAAAAGTAGGTAAATAAATCAAAACATTCGGACCATTCTTTCAACATTATTTAATATATTTATTTAATGTATATTTATAATATATTAATTTAATATATGTATATTTACTTGTAATTATTTAATATAGTTAATTAATAATAAATTTTGATTTATAATATTAGTAATTTACTATACCAGTCAGTACTTATTATGAGAAGTATTTGCATTATAATTGAAATACAGTTATATTTAAATTATTATTAATCATTAATAGAATAATTTCTTACTATAATGATTATTAATAATTTAAATTTAAAATTTATAAAAATTTCAATATTGCATTAATAATTCATTATTATTATAAATTATAATGTTAAATTAAATTAATATTAAATACTAAATTCATTTTAAATGCAGATATAATAATAATTACACAGGCCTGCAAATTTTGGCTTAGTTCTGTTACAGAAAAAGTGGTAGGTGATTCTTATAGCCAAAAAAAAAAAAAAAAACCAAAAAAAAAAAAAACCAAAAAAAAAAAAACCAAAAAAAATTCCGAAAAGTGTCCAAAATAGCCATTTTTTGGCTATTTAAGGCAATATTACAAGAAATCCTGACGTGATGGGCCATTTTGGAAATCGGATTCGTATTCTACGTCAAAAAAGCTATAAGAATCACCTACCACTTTTTCTGTAACAGAACTAAGCCAAAATTTGCAGGCCTGTGTTATTATTAATCTGTATTCGTATTATAGTTTATGAAACATTCCAAATTGTAAAGTTTAAGACTTAATTTATTATTGATTCAATTAATAATGTTAATTTTTATTAATTCACATAACCTATTATGACTAAATTGAAATATAATTAATTAATAAAAATTATTTAACAGTTTATTCTGATTTTTTGATAATATTGGTAATTGAATTTTACTATTTTACAGTTGCTCTTTATATAGACAGTTGAATCAAGAAATATGTAAGTCGGTTTGGTAGTCGCAGTCGTTAGGGCAGTTAGTTTAGGCACTAGGTTAGGTCATGCGTCGGGGTTCGATCCCCGTAGGGTCCAAATTTTAATTTAATTCCGGGAATTAGTTTCAAGTTGTTCCGTATGTAAACAAACTGATATTAATTAATAAAATATATTTTTTAAAATTAATTTGTTGCAACTTTTTGCATATTGTTTAAATAAATAAAACAGAAGTGGCTTAAAAATATGGTCAAAAATGAGATACAAATGGTCTCAAATAGTCACCAATTATGGGCGGGGTCAACAAAGAGGAGGGGATAGTAGCAAACTTGTGACCACTTTAAACTTCCTCCTGATCAGTTGTGATAGATTTCTGACGAGATCCATCCAGAATCGTAAGAAAACTGGATTAAAGTGGTCAGGCGGCCTGACCTGATTTTATTTTTAGCAGGGCTGGAGGAAAAGTTTAAGGCCCATAGTACCAGGCATGCATCTACCTCCAAGGCCTTAGCTAAAGGACTCGATATTAATATTATTAAAAAAGCCGCTGGTTGGTCTGAAACCTCTAAGGTTTTCAGTATATTTTATAACAGACCAATTTTTGGTTCAGAAAAGATCTTTAGCAACATAGTTCTTTAATAAATCTTAGTTTTGTTTATTTGAAATGTATTAAGATTGCTTGCTTAAATGTTTAAATTAAGGAATAATAATTAAGTGTAAAATAAGATTGTTTTGTTTTTTAATAAAAAATTTTATTTGCTCTAAACATCTACAAGTAACTAAGTATCTTCGAACAAGTAAAATGAAATATAATTAATGATTAAACGAACTTGTGAAGTTCGATCATAATTATATGAATTATACCTGGTGATTAACCCGTCAGCGGTCGCGCCGTGAGAAAAAGTCTCACGCAACACTACTTGACCTATAGGGCGCTCTTAGAGTGCAAGTGAGACACTAAAAAAGGCGCGACTGCTGACGGGTTAAATTAATCTATTTGTATAAATAGTAATAATAGTAATCTATTGTTATTAATTACAGCTAATTTATTATCTGCCGGGCCAAATAAACTACTTTTTTTATTTGGCCCGTCTTGAAATGTATGGAACTGGGGTGACGGGCCAAATAATAAAAGTAACTTATTTGGCCCGCTGACGGGCCAAATAAGGCTATTCAAGTTGGGTGGGGGAAAATTCAAGATGGATGCTAACTGGTGCACCAACATTGTATAGAAAGTGTATGGGATAGAGTCTAATTTTTTAAATATCTCGCTTAAACGAAATTTTTAACCATAAGTTTATTAGGATTTTATGTTTCATTTTTAAAGAACTATTTTTTGCAATGATAAAATCAATAAAAAAATAAAATCGATTTTTATTATTGCAAAAAATAGTTCTTTAAAAATGAAACATAAAATCCTAATAGACTTATGGTTAATTTCGTTTAAGCGAGATATTTAAAAAAATAGACTCTATCCCATACACTTTCTATACAATGTTGGTGCACCAGTTAGCATCCATCTTGAATTTTCCCCCACCGAACTTGAATAGCCTTAAGGCGCTAGCACAGCTCCTACTGCCTGCCTGCCGTGCCTGCCTGCAGGTTGACATGGTAACACATAAGAGTAAGAGAGTCAGAAAATTCAAATTAAATGTTTTTTCTCTCTCACTCTTATGGCGCCTGCCTGCGCAGGCAGACAGGCAGTGAGGTGAGAGTGTACCTTTATAGACACTCCGTTTAATTATACATTAAATATACCAGAAGCTTCTCTTTTTTACGATTTATTAAAAAAAACTGTATCTACCTATCTCTAGTTTCCTGTTTGTCAATAATTCGGACAACCTTGAAGAGAAAAACTAAAGTTAGAATGCAATATTAATAATCAGAAAAGGGCGAGATGAAGGCTAAAAAGCACCCTTTCATAAAGTAAGGATTATATTGAAACTAGGTTACGCTCATTTTGATATATCGAAATAGATTAGAGAATATGACGTGTCATATAAAAGGGGCGAATCAAAGAAAAATAACTATACCTTGTCGAGAGCACCCGGATATTGATTTTCCTTTTGTGAAATCCAAGGAATGGTTTTCTCCCCTTTTTAAAAGAGAAGAGAGGGATGTTGCATATTCATAGTAGTGGCCAGCACAGAGAGTATTAGTAGTCGCCATCTTGAAATTCTTGTATCCCATCAACCCTTGCGGTTGTTCACCAGGAGGCGCCACTAATTAAAGTGGATTGACATCCCTGTTGTAGGAGAGTATCCACTGAGCTGTCAAAATTGCGTAAACTTGTTTGTATACTTAGATTGTTATCGGAATCGTTTTTTCTTTGCGAATCATTTGTGTGAATGTACATTTTTTTAAAAACAACAACAACAAAAGGTTAGTAAACATTTTTTCTGTGGGAAAAATTAATATTTTGCATTGAAACAAAAACAAAAAAAGAATGAAAATCGAAGACAATAATTGTCGTCGACACCGGCGCTGAATACTTGGTTTATATTGGAGCTATCATTTTTTATTATAGACCTTCCCTGTTACCCTTTTAATTTGATGTTTTCAATTATCTCACACGTTAATTAGAGAAACAAGCAGAGTTCATTAATTTATACAAATACAAATTGTTTGTCGAGAAAAAAACAAGTGTGTCATTTTTTCATCTGTTAAACGCAATCGATTTTGCTATTTCTTAACCTAAAATTAAATTTTTTATTTAGATGTTAGATTTTATTTAGATTGATGGGGATTTTTAATATTATTTAAGAAAATGATTTATCGATTCGTTACAGTGGAATTACAATTCATTTCTATGTTTTATTTTGGAGATTTTTCGTAATTTTTTGATATTAAAAGAAACTGTTGCAATTCTTATTTTTAACTTTTGTTTATCAATTGTTTGGAATTTTTATAGTTTTTCTCATCTTTTTATATAACTCTCAAGTTTATCTTGTCAGTATTTGATGTGTGCGTGAATCCGGCTTGTATTAAATATTGACTTTTTTACTATAAGCTTTAATTAACCTAAATAATTTTCTAAACGCATTGTTCTGAAAATTGACGTTCACATGAATTAATGACATGTGATTAAAAATAGTAATCTATTCAATTGATGTAAATAAATAATATAGTAAATTAATATTCTTTAATTAATTCTGTTAGTTAATTCTATTCTGTTAATAATAATAATGGTTGAATATTTGCTGATATTTGCTAATTACTAGATAAATAAAAGGAAAGATAAAAATTTTTGTTTACAGAATAAGAGGAATCATGAACGAGAAGGAGGAACTTGTTAAGAAATCATTATTTAGCTTTGTTAGGAAACAAGTACCAACTGCACAATTGAGGTGAGAAAAAAAAAAGAAATTTAGAAATAGAATATAAATTAATAGCTTTGAATGAAATATTTTGAAAAAAAATTTCAGCTTCATTGATGATATTGTTCTGAGTTATGTTGTGAGTATGGTGGAGGAGAATGCCCTCGAGGAGGATTTAGATGTCGATGGATTATGCGAAATGGTTTCCGCTTGTTTGCCGGAATTTTCAACAATTGAGAAGGATGCTGTGTCAAAATGGCTAATTGACGTTGAAAGTACATTGCGCCAGGGTAATAAAAATAATGAAAATGGTCAACCACATGATCCATTAAGTCACATTAGCCTCGCAGCACTCTTACCTCCGAATGACACTCAACGAATGAGGGTTCATCATCTTTCAGAAACAAGTGACGCTGGCAGTGATTCCAGTGGCGAATATTTTGCCGAGGTTGAAGAAATTTATTTCTCTTATCGAACTATAAAAAACCCCTTTTTTAGTTCAATTTTATTTTCTTATTAATTCTCTATTTTATTTCTACCTCTCTATATTCTTTGTTTTTTATTTTTATTTTTCTACATTTTTCTATAGTTATTTATTTTTATTTCTTTACATTTTTTTTTCCTTTTATTTCTATACATTTTTAATTGATATTTACTTTCACGTCTCTACATTTGTTGTTTTCTCCTATTATTTCTCTACAATTTTTATTGTTTTTTAATTTCTCTACATTTTCTATTGCTAAATTATTTTTATTTCTCTACAAATTCAGGGCTCGAACTAGGTCCGTAAATCCCGTAAAGGTCCGTAAAAGTCAGTTTTTTGAAAAAAGGTCCGTAAAGTCCGTAATTTGATTGAAAAAGGATGAAAAGTTCGTAAATTGTACGATGTAATTTGGAAAATTTTGAAAAAGTTACAAATGATTGCAGAAATTCAATTATTTTCTAAAGTAATAAAATTCTTCGCAGAAATTCAATTATGTTTAAAAATTTGTTTAAATTCTCGTCAAAATAAAATAGAATTTTATTACATTTTTTTTGAATAATTGAATTCTTTTGGAAAATTTTACTAAAATAGTAGACATTGAGTTGAGGGAAATTTCTATCGATCTTTTAAGCCTTATTTTTGAATTTTTGTTTTTAAACATTTTTTAAATAACAGTAAGTATTAACAAAATCATAAAATCGTAAAATATATTTTTTTTCAGTGTTATTGATTAAGAAAATTATTTAAAAAATCTATTAAAATAATGTTTGATTGATAAAAAATAAATTAATTAAACACTTTTTAATGAATTAATTGTTGTTATTTTTTATAAACTGTACTTAGGCTTAGAAATTACAAGTTTCTTCTCAATTGTACAATTTTTCATGAGTAATATATCTACTGATGATAAAAAACAATTATTTATTAAAACATTATTTAAACAACTAATTGTTGCTATTTTTTTCATAAACTATTTATACTTAGGGTAAGAAATTTATATTTGTTTCTTATGTACTTTTTTCATTTTTTCAGAAGTTTCATTTGGGTTAGAAATTTCTAATTTTTTCTAAACAATTAAGTGGAAAGTTGAAAACTATAAACTGTTTAAACAAGGGTTAAATAATAAATTTTTTGTTTTTCTATTATACTTAGGTGTTTAAGTTATCAAAAATTACGCAAATGAGAAAAATAAGAATTTATAATTTTAACTATAGTAAATTAAAAACTTAACAAAATAAATTGTTTAAATAATTAATTTTTAATTTTTCTTTTATACTTGAATACTTTACTAATGAAAAATTGCACAATTCAGAAAAAATAGAAATTTTTAACCCTAAGTACAGTTTATGACAAAATAATAACTTTTTATTGTATAACAATTTTTAACTAAATAATTTTTTATTTTTTATCAATCAAACATTATTTTAATAGGTTTTTTAAATAATTTTCTTAATCAATAACTCTGAAAAAAATATATTTTACGATTTTATGATTTTTTTAATACTTACTGTTATTTAAAAAATGTTTAAAAACAAAAATTCAAAAATAAGGCTCGAGAGATCGATAGAGAATTTAATTACGAAGATTTAGAAAAAAGAAAAAGCGTTTTGGTAAAGATAGAGTGATTTGAAACGAAACTTGCGCCGCCATAAGTGAATACATGCACAAGTCCCGGCACTCCGCGCTGGACACTTTATTTTTTTTTTGTAAAGTTATTGTTGTCCCATAATTAAATTTACAGGAAGTATTCTTTACTTTATTTATAATATTTACCAAAAAAAAAATTTCAAATCGAAAATATATTTTTTTCAAAATTTGAATTCAAAAAATTTTTTTAAATTTGTTTCCGGCAAAAAAATTTTTTTTTGAAATTTTTATTTTTTTGTTTAAAGTACTTCTAATTATGAGTATTTTCCAAAAAAAATTATCTTAATCAGTTAACAAGAAAAAAAGTTATGTGCCTCTTTTGAAAAACCGACCAAAATTTTGAGTAAGAGGTAACTCAAAAAATTTTGAAAATTTTGAAAAAACTTTTATACGCTTTTATTCCATGTATAAAAAGGAACAAATTCTGAAAGTATTTTCAATAGTGCTAAAATCATCGAAAATTCTTATGATCACTTGGCGTGGAATTGCTCTATTTTCAAAGATAACAAAATTTTTAGCAAGAATTCAATTATTTTCAAAAATTTTAATAAACTTCTTTGAATTCTCGTAGAATTTCCAAATAAAAATTGATGATTTAAAAATTAATTTTAGTTTAAATTTGAGATAATAATGGAATATCAATATGAAAAGCATTATAGCGTGAATTTTTAGCAATAATTGAATGTTGAAAAGATTGCAAATTAAAATTTTTGGAAAATTTGGATTTTTCATACTTTTAACTAACAATTCTGTAGAATTAATTTTTTTTGAAAAAGTTTAATTGAATTTTTTATTTTCTACAATATATTTAATTGAAAAATTTCCGAATAATAGAAATTTCACGTAAAATAATTGTATTGTAAAGAAATGGATTTTAAAATTCTAAAAAAGAATTTTTTAGAAAATTATTAAATTTTGAAAAGAATTTTAGTTAAAATTTGTACAAAATAATAATTGAATTGAAATGATGAAAATAATTTTGAAGAAGTTGCAGTAATAAGATTCTTATAATGTAAAATTATTATAATAAACTATAAAATTATTATGAAACATGAAGGAATTTTATTTATAGTTTTAAGTAAAATTTTCTCTTATTTGACTCGGACTAGTTACATTTTTGTCTGTAATCGGTCTGTAATTTTTAATTTTTGGTCCGTAGAGTACGTTTTTTTAAATACTTTCACTGATTCGTGCCTTGCAAATCCTATAGCTATTTATTTTTATTTCTCTACATTTTTAAAAATATTTTTACAGGAATCATCGTGGAATCAAGTGGCCCTATTGCAGGAAATGTTTCCAGGAGCAAGTCCAGCTGAAGCTCGACATTGTTTGGCAGTTGCCGGGGGCGATATTGCAAAAGCTGCTCAACTCGCGCTTCATAGACAAGAAGCTGGACAAAGTATTGCCAGTAATCTTACGTTCCTGACAGTGAGTAAAGTTTTTTACCAAAAAAATCTATATTAATAATCGTTATATTCCGGTAATCTGTTCGCAGTTTGGAGTTAGTTGCTTGTTTGCTTTTTTGTTTCCTAACTTCTTAAATAATTTTTCTTTTTAAATATTTAAAATTTTTAAATTAATGTACTGAAAATCATTTAATTCTTGTAAAGTATTTATAAAGAAATTTGAAAATAATTGAATTTTATGAAGAATTCAATTATTTTCAATAATTGTAATAAAATTCTTTTGTCAATTTATAAATAACTAGCTGTCATACCCGTCTTCGACGGGTTTTAGTTTCTACCAATAAATTTAAAAGTGTGTCTACCAATCTTGAAAATCAGGAAGTAGCCAGGAATTTTATTTGACCGGAAAAAAAGAATATAATTAGTTACCATTAACTATTTCAGTAGGAGAATATTAAGTACTATTTGAATCAGTGACTGACATTTTATTAACAAATTAATTATTTTTAACTAATTCAAATGCAGAGAACAATATTTGTTAATTTGTAGTACTTTAATATTAATGTATTAAAAATCAATCCAAAATTTCCACCAGTTTTTAGATTTATAGTAGAGTCTAATTCGAACTAATTCGGGTCTGTTTTCATAAATATTACATCAATAAAAATTAAAGTAAAAAGCAATTTTTTAAAAGCGAATTAATTTAATAAAATTTTTTTTTAATTTGATAAGAAAATTCCCGATTCCCGGCTTATACAGTTTTTCCAGGTCACATTAATTTCCTGTTTTTCCCGGTGATAGACACCCTGTTAAATGTATTAGTGGAAACAAAAACCCGTCGTAAATTTTTGTAGCCATTTGTAGATTTATTTATGGTTAAAATCAAGTATATTTAAATTTGGTGAGAAAAGATAAACCGGTAAAAATTTAGGCAAAGCCAGAAATTTTATTAAACAAAAATAGATACCGAGTTTAACTTTTGTCTTTGCATTGCTCAAAACATCTCTAAAAGTTAAATCTATAATTAAAATACCAAAAATTTTTAACATCTAAGTGTATAACAATAATATAACAATATAACAATAATGTAATTTTTACATTACATGTCACATAAAAATAAGACTTAAATTTTTATTCCGTTAAGCATGTTATCTTTTAAGGTTGACTATTGTTCATAGGAAAGCGTGAATGCCAATGAGACGATAATGGAAGATATACTTATAATTATTTATATTATTATTATAATTATTATTATTATAATTATAATATTATTATTATAATACTTATTTGTTATTTTGATTCTAATCGTTTTCTAGTCAAAATTAATTAATATTATTTTCATGTCATTAACATGCAAAAATCCAATTATTCAGAAGAATTCTACACAAAATCACTATTTTTCTAAATTCATTCAGGGAAGTCAAGAAAAAGTAAGGGAATTTTGTCAAAAGTGCTGGAATAATATTCAATTTCAAGAATTCATAAGAAAATTCTGAATGTTATTCTTCAGCATTGAAAAGAATTTAATTATTTTAAACTCTTCCTGTTTTTAACAACAATTAGACTTCACAGATTTAAAATTTATTTTTTTAAATAATTTAATTTTGAAAAACTATCGAGAAAAAATTATTTTATGAATTATTTTAGAATAAATTTTTATTTAAAAATTAAAAAAAAATTGAATTTTATGAAATTTTTTTTATAAATAATATAAATAAGTAAGAAATGATAATTTATTAGGGGAGAGTTGTTATGGGTGTCTACCTTTTCATTTCAATTCGGAAGTCGCGAATGCGCCTGCGCAGCAACCATGACAGTTCACCAATTTTAAAAGTTTCGGCCCTGTTCTATTAACATGTGTTAAAACCATGGAGTAGTATAAGGAGACCGAACGCCACTCACGCAAAGTGGCCGCACTTTTCATTACCGTGTTTCCTCTGGGCTCACTTACATCGATAGAAGCGCCCCCAACGGGGAAAAATGTCACTAATAATCGTCTGCTAATTGTTATTGTACAGTGCAGTTGGTATTTTTATAGGTTAGTGTTGTTTGGAAATAGTTGACAATTATCATTAATAATTATCTTATAATTATAATATATTATTATTTATTCAATATTAATTTTGAAAGTGCTCGGTTGGAAGTGAAAAGAGATAAATAAGTAAGTATATGTGAGAATTGTTGCGATTAATATTGTTTATATACATAACTTAATTGTTACTAAAATTCCCTCTATAATTAAGAGAGAAGAATTGCAATTTTTCGCTACACAGACAGCAGCAGGCATTTTCACTCACAATTTATTTTTTACATGCTTCATTGAACTAACAATCACTTTTATAAACAAAATTAGAGGTTATGTCATGTCTTATTTTGTTTTTAAATATAATGATCTTCTCCTCCGCGAGAGGCTCTTCTATCGATGTAAGTGAGCCTAGAGGAATCACTGTTAAGTAGAGTCTACATTGGATGAACGCGAACGTTGCCGTGCTGACGTCACCCATTTGAATAGCATGGGTGACGTCAGACGTTCGCGTACACGTTCACGTTCGCGTACCATGGAATGTAGACTCTACTTTATGAAAAATGCGGCCACGTTTGACGCGGATTCATCACGGGCGTTCGGTCTCCTTATACTACTCCATGGTTAAAACTTTACTTTTGCTCATGTTTTTATAGAGAAAAGAAAATGTGTCCGGTGCAAAATTGGTATCAAATTTAAACATAAAAACACGCAGTTAAATTTGCAATTAAAAATATCACTGCAGTGCAGAAAACAGTCAACTAAAAGAAGAAAAAAGAGTTGGTTCCAGAGTGAGGTTATGTTTACTATATATTGACATATTGTTATTCGCTGATGAAATGTGAAAAACACAATAGTTACCTCTTTCACTTTTATTTATTGTTTTTATTAACGTTGCATGTAGAAATGCAAAAAAAACTAAAATAAATTATTGATATTTCAAAAATAACTTATTGATAAAATAATTAATATATGCTCCGTCCTTAATTTTTTCATTAAATTTATTCCAGTATTTGTTAAAATTATTATACTCCATTTTTATGCAACATATAATAATTATTAGAACACTTTTTATAATTTTTTCATATCTGAATAATGCAATAGCTGTAAACAGGGCCGAAACTTGAAACGGAACTTCAATTCCATATAACGCATGCGCAAAGAAAATAATTGAAATGAAAAGGTCTATTAAACAATCATTTATCCACAAATATAAACGAAAATAATTGCAATTTCTATTATTCGAACTTTTGATTATCTGAACCAGATCCTGCCTGAATTAGTTCGGATAATTCAGTTTCCACTGTATTTAAAAAATTATGTAATTTTAATAGTATAGTCATTAATGTCTTAAAAATAAATCCGGGAATAATTTAGTTTTAGGTCCGGGAAATACGGGATTTTGCTAGGAATTTGAAAATCATAATTCGCTAGACACCCCTCGCTTATTACCTATTTTTTCATACTACATACTTGTTCAATATGAAAATTATTCACTTGTGGTTTAAATATAATTTTTATTGAAAGTTAGCAATGAATCTGCTGCAAATAAATTTTAAACTAAAGTTTATTATTTATATTAACCAAAATAATTGTAAATCTTAAATACTTCTGTCTAAAAAATATGCTAGTCGAATTTTAAAAAATAGTATTCTGTTGAGCGAATTAACCCTACATGAGCGAAATTAGCGTCATTTACGGTACATCCGTTTTTGTCTATTTTGGTGTAATAAATTTTACGAGGCCTTATACGGTTTAAGCAATTCTATTTATATTGACGACGTTTCGATACATTAAGTATTCTCTTCAGGTCAAAATTGAAATTAATTAGTTAATTAACATACAGTCATTCAGTCATTTTATCGAAAAAAGAAAAGAAACACCTCATAAAGAGAGTTTCTATTAATTTATTACTAGCCAAATTATCCGCGCGCAAGCGCGCGGGAATGTTGTTTTGCACTGTTTATTGTAAACAATTTCAAGTAATTTTAATTTAAGTAATAATTAAATAATTAATTTTCACTAATAATAAAATTTTTCATGATAATTCAATTTTTAAAAAAATTTTTGATTAAATTCTAAACATGAATCTAATTATTTTCATAAATAATAAAACTTATCGAATGATTTCAATTATTTTTAATAATATTTTAAATTAATAATCGAAAAATTCAGTTATTTTCACAAATAAAGTTTTCCACTAGAATTCAATTATTTAAACTAATAAAATTTTCATAATATTTATTATATTTCGAAAAAATTAATTATTTAAAACAATGTTCATAAAATTCTTATGAAGAATTCAATTACTTTAAAAAAAATAAATTTTTTTTACAGAAATTCAATTCTTTTATTTTAATAAACTTTTCCGCAATAATTCAATTATTTTCAAAAATAATAAAATTCTTCTATGAAATTCAATTATTTTTGAGAATTATAATAAAATTCTTAGCAACTATTCAATCATTTTCATAAATAATAAAATTCATAGCAGGATTTCAATTATTTTTAATACAATTTTACAGTAATTATTTTTAAAAACTTAATTTCAATTCCACGAAAAAATCAATTATTTAAAAAAATGTTTTTTTAATATTTTTTGGAAGGATTGAATAATTATTTTCAAGAATTTAATAAAATTGTTCGAAAGAAATTAATTGTTTTAAATACAATTTTAATTAAATAATTCAATTATTTTTAAAAATTTTAACAATATTTTTTCTAAGACTTCAATTATGTCGATAAATAAGAACATTACTCCCGAAAATTCAATTATTTTGAGGTATTTTAATAAAATTCTTTTCAGAATTCAATTATTTTCATAAATAATAATTTTCTTCTTGGAATTACATTATTTTAAAAAAATTCTAATAAATCGTTCAAAAGAATTCAATTATTTTCAAAAAAGTTTAATAAAATTTCCAAACATTCAATTATTGACAAATTTTTTAATAGAATTCTTTATAAAATTTAATTAGGGGAGAGTCGGTAGTGGCGAGACACGCTTTGTTTTTTTTGTGTAGAACTCATATTTTCATAAATATTTGGTCTGCTTTTGTGCAGACAGACTAGTGAGACTATCTTTTACAAATTTACATAATATAGATAGCATATGTCTTCAAAAAAAAAAGTTATTACCGAATTTCAAAAATGTCTCGCCACTGCCGACAACGCCCTATCATTAAAAACTTTTCGCAATTCAATGATTTTCAATATCTACTATTATCATAAAATTTCCAAACAGAATTCAATTATTTAAAAAATGGTTTGTAAAAATTTTCGTAAGAATTCAATTCAATTTTTATAAATATTAAAATTCTTTGATGAATAATAAAATTCGTTGCAGGAATTCAATTTATTAAAAGGATGAGAAAAAAGTAAATATTTTTGATGAAAATTAGGAAAAAGTTAGGAAAATAAAAAATATGGAATGGAATTTTTTTCAATTTGAATAAAACGAGTTTTTTTTACATTGAAAAAAAAAAATGCCAATAACCCACAAAAATTAATTTTCAAAACAAACAAATGAATGCAGATAATTTGCTAACGGAAAGGAAACTTACGATTATTATAATGTATATATATATGTATATATTATTACATTTTAATTATTTTTTGAAAACAAAATTTAAAAAAAAAGTCAATTATTTTGACGTGCCATAATTGTCTTGTTTTTTTTTGTTTTTTTTGTTTTCAAAAAATAATTAAAATGTAATAATAATAAATTAATAGAAACTCTCTTTATGAGGTGTTTCTTTTCTTTTTTCGATAAAATGAGTGAATGACTGTATGTTAATTAATTAATATCAATTTTGAGCTGAAGAGAATACTTAATGTATCGAAACGTCGTCAATATAAATAGAATTGCTTAAACCGTATAAGGCCTCGTAAAATTTATTACACCAAAAATTAAATATTGTTCAAAAGTAATAAAATACTTCTTAGGGATTCAATTATTTTCATAAATAATAAAACTCATCGCGGTATTTTGAATTATTTTTAATACAATTTTAATCAAATTTCTCGAAAATTGTAATTATTCTGAAAAATTTTATTAAAATTCGTTGATAGAATTCAATTATTTGAAAATTTTTTGATTATGATTCTTTATGGAAATTGAGTTTTAAGAAACATTTAATTATTCAATAAATTATTTATTTTTGTATTTAAATAATTGAATTCTAGTAGAATTTTCTAATAAAAATTGATTTAAAAATAAATTTCAGTTAAAAATTTTAGATAATAATTGAATATTAAAAGTAAATAATAATTGAATTGTAAATGATTTTATCACTCGGTCATCTTTAATTATTATAAAGCATGAAGAAATCGATATCTTCATGTTTTGCAGCTATGAAAATTTTAATTTATAGTTTTAAGTAAAATGTTCTCTTATTTGACACCGATTGGTTATATTTTTGTCAGTCCGTAAATGGTCCGTCATTTTTCATTTTTGGTTCATAAAGTCCGTATTTTTAAATACTTTTAGTGGGTCGAGCCCTGAGATAATGATTTTTTTAAAAAGAATTTCATCAAAATTGTTGAAAATAATTGAATTTATATTAAAATTCTTGAAAATAATTGTTTTCTTTCGAGAAATTTTATTGAAATTGTAGTGAAAATAATTGAATTGTTCTAAAGAATTTTATTATTTATGAGAATAATGAAATTCTTGCGACAAATTTTATTAAAATTTAAAATTAAAATAATAAAAAAGAATATTCTATATTATGTACTTAATAAGTGCATTCTTTAAATTAAAAATCTGTAATCATTCAAAAATTGATGTTTATTCTTAAAAATATAAAATTTTTGAATTTAAAAAATAATAAGAAATGGAATATGTTCCGCGAGCTGGCGCGCGTATCATTTGCTTGCAATAAATAAATTATAAATATTTTTATTAATTTAAAAAATTTATCTCTTTTGCTTTTCAGCCGAATGGTCGTAACAAGGCTCGTGTCAATGACGAGGAATTAAAATCGCGTATAATTGCACGCTACAGTTATGTGGATCGTGATGATGATTCACGTGAGCATAGACCAGTGGCACCGAAAATGGAGCCAAAGAAACTCGTTAGATATTTGGACAACAAAATAGTGAGTATTAAAGGTGAACGATTTACCGAAATAAAACGAGGCGAAGAGGAAGATGGCAACGAGGGTGGACGAAAGAGAGGTCACTGCCGTCCGTAACCAGTCCCCCTGCCTCCACCCCCCGATCCACCCCCTTGGAGGCATATGATTGCAGTTTAAGTATATATTTTATTATAGAAATTTAGTCCTTCGCATTCAGGTATAGGAATATATCTTCAAAAGTATTGGATATCAAACCAGTCTAGTCTATTTTTACATTCTCATTTTATTTAGTTTAATTGTTTCGAAATAACAATTTCAAAAAGAAAAATTATTTATTTTAAATAGACGTTATTTCTATTTTTTCGTCATTTTAATTTCTTTTTCTTCCTTTACGAAAGAAGGCATTCAAATTATATTTTTTTATTATTTTATACTAAAAATCATAGAAGAAAAATTAAATTCTTCCTTTAAGTATTATTAAACAATTGTGATCATTTTCGATTGATATTGAAGTATTTTTTCGACTTTTGATATCCAACGCTTGATATGTAAATAATTCTTTCCATCGAGCGTTACAATGGCCACGCGTGATTTATCCCGATTCCTTTTAATTATCCCAATAAAATATTTCGATACGATACGCTTGTACAAAGAAGAGATAAGAGAATATAGAGAATTGAGTGACGCTTTGTCGAAATAAAGGAGAGGATCGAGAGGATTGCAATTTTCGAGAAATGCTTTTTGAAAATACGACTTTTTGTCTCATAGAGTTTCTATTTGTGGATAATTGGGAAAGAAAAGAAAATGTAAATATTGGATATCATGGGATAAAGGGATTAAAAAATTCATCACAGTATTCAGATACAAAAGGTCATCAATTTTCTATGTAACTATTTCATATGCGAATGATAACAAAGTCGGTTGGCTATTGTAGTCTTGGATTATTAAAAAAAATATCGTTTCTTTTAATCCTCCAAGAATTTTTTTTATTCCAATTTTGAAATGGTGAAAATAAATCCCATTTTTTATTGCTTTTTTATATATTTTTTTAGTCTGACACGCTTTGATTGATCTTAATTTGTTCTACTTAATTTTTACGCGCTTTTCACAATTATACAATTTAGCTATTTTTCGTAGTTTCACGTTTTGAAAAAAAAGAACAAAGAAGTAAACAAGAAACAAAAAAATGTGCGCTGAAATACGCCGAATTTTCATAGAAATCTTTTATACTAAGAAAAAGTCTTCTGCAGGATGCAAATTTATAAAAAAAAAATATGTATTCGATTGTGTTTTTTCTAGCATTTTTGTAAACAAAACGCTTTTTAGAAGGAACGGAAAATCGAGAGGAAAAAATGGGAATTTTCAAGTGTAACGTGGAAATTGTTTTATTATATTCTCAAATTTACGGATATGGATTGCACTTGCTTGGATTTTGAATTTAAAAAAATGAAATTAGAGGAGAGTGATAAATTAAGAAAATTATTTTCTTCGCATTTTTCTTTGTAGACTCTCCTCTGAGAAAAAAAACGAAAAAAAATTAAGGCAAGCACATTTAAATAATAATTATAAGATTCGTTTACTACGCCATATAATTTACCAGTATTACTATTGATATATCTTAACTACGACTAATTACGAGCATTAATAGAATATGCATGTGTTTAATCATCACATTAAGTGGTAGAGGCTCATTTTAGACTGCATAAAAAAACGATTCTCAAAAATAAAAAAATCGAACGAAAGAAAGCTCGAATAAAATCTTATTCTGCCACTATAAAAAAAATATATTGTCACAATATTATAAAAAAGCATTATATTAGCGATATTATATTATCGCATTCTTATTTGTGATGGACTGAGATGTAAGATATATTTGTATTTTTCACAATCTTAATGTTACTTTTATTAGGTTTTTTAAATAAGCTATTGCGATAAAAAGAAATTTTAACTTGTCAATCAATTAATATTTGCACCGCTGCTTCTCATGTTTCCTTCAAATTAAAATCGTGTCAAATAATAATTTTTTTTTTTTATTTTTCAAAATCATTTTTATCGTTTTGACAATTTTAATTTGAAAGAAACACTGTGAGAAATCAATTTTTCAAAATAGATTTGCACCTATTGATCGATTGCAATTTCATACTGCGAGAAGTCAAGAAAAAGATAAATGTTCTTAGATAGGGAGTTTTTTCACTACTAGAAGAATATTATCAATTCAATAAAATTCGTTTTCGAATTGCATTGTTTAATCGTCTTCTAGTCCAATTCTTATAATATACGCTCACCTCAAGTAGTGATTGAAAAAATAAAAAAATCCCACTATTGTTTAGATAATAAAATACATGAATATATTAAAAATCATTAACTTTTAGAGAAATAGTTGGAATGGACAATTTTCAACTCGAATTATAAAAATTTAGACAAAAAAAAGATTAAAAAAATACAAAAAACCTACTAGAGGAATTTAAAGCTCTCGATGAGCCGATCCTTGCCATAGTTTTCTTAGGTTTACATTACAAGTGAAATGTGCATTTAATTACCATAATAATAATAATAATAAAAATAATTATAATTAAAAATAATAATAATATTATCGTATAAAGAAACTATTTGTTCAAAACTTTTAACGCGAGTTTTACAGCAAAAAGTGTTCGCAATAATTTAAATTTCATTCAAATGAATCGAGTGAGTTGCTTAATTTACGAATTTAATATAAATTAAGTCAAAAAAACTAGCGTAATATTAAAAAATATATTTGCTCATTTATAGAAAACAAAAAAATTTCGCTTGAAAAAAAAATGAAATTTCGAAACATACTCGATTCATTGGAATTGATTTTTTTTCCACGCTTCGTATCGCGTGCATTCGTACTCTGTTCTAATATAATTATTATTATTAATTCTATAAGAAATAGGTAGACAGCTATCAATACTAGAACATGTAGAAATTAGATATGAAAACAAAAAAAAAACATTGTATATCTATCATATAATCATTGTGTAGAAAAATTCGTCGAAAAAAAGAGAATTATTTGAAAATATTGTAAAACTATATATATATAGAGAATATGTAATTTTACGTATTTCCTTACCGGTGATTTTTGTCCGCCCTTTAAACAAAGTTTTTAGGGTTTTTATTTTATTGTTTATTAATATAAAAATAGGTCTTCTTTTTACAAAATAAAAATTTGGTTTTTCTTTTATTTTCTAAAGAACCTTATTTGAATTTCTTGTTTTAAAAATTGAATGATTGATTTTTAATTATGAACAATATTTCAATATTTATTTTCAATTTAAAAAAAATGTAGCTAAACATTGTTAAAAATAAAATTTTTTCGGAGGCCTTTACACGCGGGTTAGAAATATTCATTAAAAAATTGTCATAAATCAGAATGAAAAAGTTTTTTCTAGAAATTAACTAAATAAAGATCATTTCTACAAGAGTGAAAGAAGGTTTAGTGAAAGAACAAATTGCAATTTTGTATTTTTATTTCTTATCTTTAAAAAAAAATCTATAATGTTGAAGATAAATAAATGTAGTAGTAAAAAGATGCAAATCAATTTGTCTTTTTTATTCAATTTATCGTGTGTTGAATAATTTTTTTTTAAACAGAGAAAGAAAGATAACGTTTTATATTTAAAAAAAAATCAAATGCATCTTTCTTTTCTTGCAATAAAAGATGATGAAAATTTGAAACTTTAAAATTAAAAGTATAAATTATTTTTTTTTGTCTTATTTAAATGGTGTATTTTGTCTACTTCTTCTTCTTTCTTGGCTGAGGCGCTGGCAAATATTCCGTTTTACGTTTTGAGGCCGATTTTGGTCCGGCATTACCGCCCTTTTTCTTTCTCTCCTGTCTCTCGCGCTCCTCGAGTTCTTGATTTTCGCGTTCAATCAATGTAATGAGAGTATTACATCGTCGTTGTAATTCAAGAGCAGTTCGTGATTTAACGAACCAATCGAAACGAAATTGTGGAGCTGATCTCACAGTGGCGCGTAATTCCTCGTAAACATTTTCCTTGTCAAAGCCAAGTTTATGCAGCATGCAAACTAAAAATCTATCCTCTTCCTCGGTGTAATTTTTACCCTTGTTTGTTCCGTAGGCTATCCTCAATTGATGGAAAGGCGCACGATATCGTGCCATTTTTGCGTCGAGAGCCTTTTTAATTCCTGCGCGTCTCTGTATTTTTGCTTCGCCACGTTCAATTTGTGCCATTACTCTGAAAAATGAAAATTAGTATTTAATTTGGAATAATAATTAATATTTTAATATTTAATTATTGTTATAATAACTGTTTCAATAATTATTAACTTTTTTTGCAAGTTTTTAGCGTATAATTATAAAATATACTTTTGTCCTAAAAATTCAAATTATCTTTCATTAAAATAAATTTTTTCCAAAATTTATTTTTAAGTTACACTTTTTTTTCATTTTTATGAACTTTGCCAATAACAGAATTCAATTTTATTCAGAGTTGTAGAAAAATATTATATTTCTAGAAATGATACAAACATTTTTGTTTTATTTAACCTTAAACTGTTCTTGAATTTTTTTCCACCTTAAAGAATTTTTAAAAATAAAAGTTATAGTTTCAATTTTTATAAAAAAATTAATTTCTGAATTTAAATAATTGAATTCTTGAAGAACTTTCTGAAAACTATTCAAAACACAATTGTTTTAAGAGAAACACATTTAGAGAAAATGTTTAATTGAAAATTCTGGAAAGTAATTGAATTTTCGAAGAGTTAAAAATAAAAATTTTAGGAACTAATAAAAATTTTGAATTTTGAACAATTTAGTTTTTCGAAAAGTTTAAATTAGTTGAATATCAAGATTAGCGGTAGAAAATCGCCACCATATTGAAAAAATATCGAATCATAAAAGACAGAATTCGGATAAGTTTATTCAATATTTTGGATACTTTTATAGAATTTAAGCAAAGAAAACTGAAAAAAAACCGGACAAGTGCGAGTAGAACTCGTACTGAAACCGAGGGTTCCGTACCCACGTTTAAAACTTTTACTTTTTTGATGAAAAAATATAAAGATCAACTCCAATATTTTTCGCTGTATTTTTTCTGTAATCTACAGGTGAAAATAAATAAATAACCAATTTTCATCTCTTCAGATAAAAAACTGTGGGCGCTAGGGTAAAAAACACGCATTTCTGACAAAATTTTTAAAAACTTAGAGTTTTTCGCTAAAAAAAAATATGAAGATAAAATCCAATCATGTTCGGTCTATTTTTCCTGAAATCTACACATGAAAATTCATAAAATAAGCAAAACTATAGTCCAATAGGCCAAGAATTGTGAAAACCAAGGGAGGGATACACACTTTTTTTTCTAAAACAAAAAAAATTTTTAGTTTTTCGCAAAAAAAAAATGAAGATGAACTCCAATAATTTTTTCTGTATGTTTGTTAAAATCTACACGAAAAAATAAATAAAAATATATAACGCCAGTCCACTAGACTAAGAATTGAGGGAACTAGCATAGGTATTATAATTATTATCAAAAATTGAAAAAAAAATTTAGGTTTTCGCTCAAAACGGAATGAAGATTAATTCTAATCATTTCCACTATATTTTTCCTGTAATCTACACGTGAAAATACAAAAGTGTACCAATTTTCAGCTCTTTAGGTAAAAACTGTAAGTGCTAGGGTGAAATACACGCTTTTTTGACGAAATTTTTAAAAACTTTGAGTTTTTCGCTGAAAATAATATGAAGATCAAATCCAATCATGTTCGCTATATTTTTCCTGGAATCTACACACGAAAATACATAAAATAAGCAAAACTGCAGTCCAATAGGCCAAGAATTCTGAAAACCAAGGAGGGGTACACACTTTTTTTTAAAACGAAAAATTTTTTTAGTTTTTCGCAAAAAAAAATATGAAGATGAATTCCAATAATTTTTTCTGAATGTTTGTTGAAATCCACACGAAAAAGTAAATAAAAATGTATAACGCCAGTCCACTAGATTAAGAATTGAGAGAACCAGCAAGGGTTAAAGAATTTTCGAGCTTGCAAAAAGAGATTTTAGTTTTTCGATGAAAACACCATGAAAATAAATTCTAATCACTTCCGCTATATTTTTCCTGTAATCTATGCGTAAAAACGAATAAGTATGCCAATTTTCAGCTCTGCAGGTAAAAAAATGTAGGCGCCAGGGGGGGGGTACATGGATTTTTTTCAAAATTTTCAAAATTTTTGACTTTTTCGATAAAAACAGAATGAAGATCAATACCAAATGTGTTCGCTATATTTTTCCTTTAATCCATTTTTGAAAATACATATGCATACCAATTTTCAACTTTCTAGGTAAAAAACTGTGGGCGCTAGGGGGGGGGGGGGGGTACATGCCTTTTTTTGCGAAAAATGGCCAAAATTTGATGTTTTTCGTCGAAAACACTATGAAGATCAATCCCAATCACGTTCGCTACAAACCTAGAACCTAAACTACTAAATGGATTTTGCAGGATACTCTAAAATATTATTAAATGAGTTAAAATCCCGATATATATTTCCGAAAATTTCAATAAATTTCGTATTTTTTAAAATTTCTGGATTTTTCAAAAGAAAATTAAATTTTTGTGAAATTTAGACAAACGTAAAGACATATCTTTTAAACGGATATGTAAAATATTGTAGAATATTTTTAATTGGGTTACAATCTCGATATGTATTTCAGGAAATTTCAATACATTTCGTATTTTTTGAAATATTTGGATTTTTCTCAAAAAAATTGGAATTTTTAAAATTTAGACAAACGTAGAGACTGAAGTTTTTCTAACTTAATTACTTAATTGATGAAAGTATTGACGCCAAGATTTTAAAATTGCCTTAAATAGAAATTTTTTATAAAAACGAATAATTAGATTTCATTTTTTACTTATGTTAAACATGAAATTAAATTTCATATTATTTGTTACAATTCAAAATATAACGTGAAACATTGACTTAATTCGTAAATCTAATTAGTAAAATTAATAAAATAAATCAACATAAAAACTTTAGTTATAAATTTTACTTGGTAAACTTTTATTTCAGTAATAGTTTGAACAATTACAAAAGCTTTTACTTGGCGGAGTTTTTTGCATCAAAGATGATTTTGTTGGGATTTAAATATATAGAATTTATTTCTTCTTGCTATAAATTTTGCTCTATATCTTTTGACTAATAATTAAAAAATTTTTGGATAATCGAAAGAGGGAAAAATTTAATTGAAAACAATTGAATTTTAAATAAGAACTTTTTTTCTTACTTTTTTGAATAATTCAATTCTCAAAGAACCTACCCGTGTGGAAAAGTGGTGTTGGCCCACGCCGGGGGCCCGCATGGATCGCCCACATCCATGAGGGGCCCACGTGGGTGATCCAGGCGAGGCCCCTCATGGAAACGACATGCTGATCGATGAGGGCGCCCGCATGGGCGATCCACGCGGGCGCCCTCGTCGGCCCCCTGCGTGGCCCTCGCGTTTGCCCTCATCTTTGCCCTCGACTTTATTTTTCAAAATTAAGTTAATAAATTAATTATTTATTAATAACAAGCAAGTTCAATTATTAATAAATAACATTGTTATTTAACGATTTTTACTTTTTTTAATTAAATCGTGACCAAAAAAAAAACATCTGACGCACTCGGGAATAGAACCTACGACCTACGGACTATCAGACAAACGCTTTACCACTGTGCTAAGGAACTTAGTTGAAATTTATTTCTTTATAGTAGGTGACTAGCTGACTTGCTTTTGATGATTCAATAAAACATTGTTGACACTAATACACCATAACAAAAAACGTGTTATTCATTGTTTAAAATCATTGTAATCATTAATTTTTGTTATGTAAAAAAATATTTTTTGTTTGGACTTAGAAATTTTTGCTGGTAAATGATGTGGGCGATCCATGCGGGCCCCTCGTGTGGGCCCTCAAGGATTTGCCCTTATGTAAGTTCAATATTTTCAAAAAAATGTCAAAACATTTCTGTTAAAAACGTGTTTTTTATTGTTTATAATCATTATAAACATTAATTTTTGTTATGTAAAAAAATATTTTTTGTTTGGACTTAGAAATTTTTGCTATAGTCAATGATGTGGGTGATCCATGCGGGCCCCTCGCGTGGGCCCTCAAGGATTTGCCCACATGGATCAGCCCTCGTCGGCCCCCGCCGGGGGCCCTCACGTCGTGTGGGCTTGATGGGGGCTTTTTCCACACGGGTAATAAAAATTATCAAAAATAATTGATATAGAGAAGAATTTGAGTTTCGATTTTTAGATAATAATTAAATATTGGAAGATAATATATAGTATAATTTTTTTAAAATAAATAAATTTACAAAGGTATCAAATTGAAATTTAATTGGCAAAGTTTTTAATTTTGAACAATTTCAATAAAAAATTCTAAAGAACTCAGTTCTTTGAAAAATGTTAATTCAAATTTTTTTTAAATTAGTTATTTACTAGTAATTTTTTGGAATTTTTTCAGTAAAAATTGAAAACTTTTCGAATAATCCAAATTTTGTAAAATTAAATAGGGACATGATTATTCCCCTAATGTCATTTTTCCGAAATGTCATTTTACCGAACTGCACTTTTGCGAATAGTCATTTTTGCGAAAAGTCATTTTTACGAATTGTCATTTTTCCGAATTTGCACTTTTGCGAATCGCCATTTTTACGAAAAGCCATTTTTGTGAAATGTCATTTTTACGATTAGTCATTTTTGCGAATTGTCATTTTTGCGAAAGGTCATTTTTGAGAAATGGCATTTTTGCGAATTGTCACTTTTGCGAATCGCCATTTTTACGAATTGTCATTTTTGCGAATAGTCATTTTTGCGAAAAGTCATTTTTACGAATTGTCATTTTTGCGAAAATTCCTATAGTGAATCTATATATGCATACAAGTTTACTATAGTAATTATCGCAAAAATGACAAATCGTAAAAATGATATTTCACAAAAATGGCTTTTCGCAAAAATGTCTTTTCGTAAAAGTGACAATTCGCAAAAATGACAATTTGCAAAAATGGCTTTTCGCAAAAATGACAATTCGTAAAAATGACTTTTTGCAAAAATTACTATTCGCAAAAGTGCAGTTCGGTAAAATGACATTTGGGGAAATTTGGAGAATAATCATGCGTCCCAATAGGGACCAAATTCACACACTACGTCACGCATTTTCGAACGAATTTTTACCCCCCTCCCCTTCCTTCGTCACATTTTTTACATAGGAAATAATTTTTTTTTTCACATTTCGTCACACACAGCTTGACACCCCCCCCCCCCCATCCCTAGAAGTGTGAAGTAGTTTGTGAACGAAAAATTCCCATAAAAAATGAATTATTTGTGAAAATAATTGAATTCTCAAGAAGAATTTATTGTATTGAAAATAATTGAATTATTAGGAAAATTTTATTAAAATTGCACTCTTATTAACTAAATCTTGTAAAGAATTTTGTCAACTTTTTTTTAAATAATAGAATTCTTTCAAAGTTTTTAAAAAATTTTCGATATAATTGAATATGTCAGAACTATTTTTTTTAATTTTCTGAATATATTTGAATTCCTTCGAGAAACTTCATTAAAAAATGAAAAATAATTGAATTGGTGCGAAGAAATTTATAAAAAACTGTTAAGTAATTGAATTCCTGTGAAATTTTTATTAATATTTTGTTTCAATAATTGAATTATTTTAAAAAATTTTATTAAAATAGTAGATATTATAAATAATTAAAATGAGGAAAATTTTTGAAAATAATTGAATTTCGGAGAAGAATTTTATTATTTCTAAAAATAATTGAAATTTTAAAGAGAATTTTTAAAAATTTATTATAAGTAATAATTTTATGATAGTTGTTCAAGAATTAAGTTATTTAAAAAGATATTATTATTATTATTAGAAATAGAAAAAATTGAAGGGCTTGTATTTGAATTCTTTGCAATTTCATAGTTTATAAGGCAAACAAAAGAGACACCAAAATTCAGAATTTTCTTATAAATTCAAAAAATTTAATTTTTTTTCCTGACCTGTGTCAACCCTGATTAAACAAAATTGTTGAATTTTTTTGAATAATTTAATTAAATTCTGAAAAAATTAGGTTTTGAAATAATTTTACTTACAATTGTTTTTTAGATAATTCAATTTTCTAAAGTAAATTAATTAAAAAATTGTAAATTTCGTCAAATTATATTGAAATAAATTTTATGCTATGGATAATTTTAATTAAATTTTTTAAGAATAATGTTTTAGAAAAAAAATTTGAAAAGTGATTTGAAAATAATTGAAATTTAAAAGAACTTTGAATTCAAGTTATTATCGGAATAAGAGAAAAAGTTGAAAAATTTTCTGGTAATCTAAAAATCAATCCGATGCCTGTCTGTTTTTTATCAAGTAGGAAAAACTTGTTTACCTGTCGATATCCTGAAGTTCATGGCAACGTTCCCAAAATACAGCGGAATATTCCATCACTTCTTCTGGTGTTTTGCCTTCAACTTCCTTAGCAATATTTTCAATATCATCGCGACCGTATTTCTCGTTCGCCTTTATAAACTGGTTAAAATCACGTTTCGTCCAATTAGTAAATCCCTGAATGAGTAAATCTTCCTTCTCCTTCACCTCATCATCTGAAAGTGGTTGAGCATCGTCAATCTTTCGTTGTTCCTCCTTCTGAACACGAGCCGCATCCGAACCTAATTCGGGATTTTTCGGAACCTGGAGAAAAAGATAATCATTACGAAAAAATGAATTCAAGATTAACAAAATAGAAAAACAAAATAGAACAAAGGGAACATAGAGTCACCTTATAACCGACAGTTTGTCTGAAATAGTAAATTTCCTGATCTAGAAGCTCAAAGAGTCTCGGAGGGAAGAATTGAAAATCTTGAACAATCGGTTGCTTTGGTGGTCGCGGTGCTTTCGGTGCTTTTGGCTCGGAAACACGAAGTGCTTCTCTAAAATACGCATCAACAGCATAATTCGCCTTTCGTTCACGTTTAGGCGGTTCAATCCAGTTGCCAATACCGGGAATTTTTTGCTTCTCACGATAATCCTGTCCCTCGAATTGATAAACCGAGTCGGTTGGCGCGTCAACGGTGAAATTACGCAATGACGATTCACCCATACTTTCCAATTTTTGTTTACTCTCTTCAGTTTTGTCCTCGCCCTTCTTGAGAATCGTGTCAATATCCTCGTCAGTGATTGCGCTGTCCTTTGATGCAAACACCTCATTCGCTCCGTGTCGAATAATATTCAACATTTCATCTTTATTCAATGCATTTTGCTTCGCGTCAACTAATCTACCTTGTTGAATGACCAATTTATCCAAACGTAATTTAACCTCAGCACGTTCGACGATCTTCTCCTCCACCGTATTCTCAGTGATGAAACGAAAAACTCTCACTTGCTTCTGTTGACCAATGCGATGGGCACGATCCATAGCTTGAAGATCCATTTGTGGATTCCAATCGGAATCGAAAATAATAACCACATCGGCTGTTGCTAAATTAATACCCAAACCACCGGCACGTGTTGAGAGCATGAAAATAAATTTCTCACTACCCGGAGCATTGTATTCATTGATTTGTCGTTGACGATCCTCGTGCGCCGTATTACCATCGAGACGGCAATACTGATAACATCTCCAGTGACAATAATCCTCGAGAATATCCAGCATGCGTGTCATTTGACTGAAAATTAATACCCTCGATTCTTGTTGCTGTAATTTTGGCAAAAGTTTATCCAAAATTACCATTTTACCGCAATTGTAGACTAAATGCTCGTCAGTTGTGTAAGGTGGACCAGGCTCGGCGCCATCGAATAAATACGGATGATTACAACATTTTCTCAATTGCATGAGAATATTTTGCAGCCGCATTTTTTCAATTTTTCCCGCTCCATTAACAATATCAATGTCCTTCATTAATACTTTTGTATACCATTCGCGTTGCATTTTACTTAAACCAATGTAGACTTTCATTTCTTTTTTTGGTTTTAAACCCTTTTCCACTTCTGATTTCAAACGTCGTAGTAAAAATGGTCTAAGGACGGCGTGTAAACGTTCAACCAGTGAATTATCACCGAGAAAACTGTTTGTATTGAACCATGCATCAAAATCATCGCTACTATTAAATACATCGGGTAGAAGAAAATTGAGAAGTGACCATAATTCGTGGAGATTATTTTGCAATGGTGTACCAGTGAGAAGTAAACGATTTGCAGTCTTGCATTCTCGTAGAATTTCTGATAATTTGGATTTTTCGTTTTTTAAACGATGCGCCTCGTCGACAACCATATAGCGCCAATTGAATTTTTTAAATACCCATTTTTCACGTAGTACCATTTCATAAGATGTCACACAAACGTCCCATTCACCGGGTAACATAACTTCTCGAATAAATGTATTTCTAGTGTCAATATCACCAATGAGAAATACTGTTCTTAATGAAGGACACCATTTTTTGAATTCATTCATCCAATTGGCGAGAGTTGTCTTTGGAACGACGACTAAATGTGGACCGGAAACGTTGCGAAAATGCTTCATATATCTGAAAAATAGGATAAATTTATTTATGCAAAAATCACCAAATTTAAATATTTTATTTCTTCTTCAGATTAAATTTGTATTACAATAATTTTGCGTCACTATTAAACAAATTAATTTGTTTCTAAGTACATAACTATAAAATTTAATTTATTAATTTTTATTGCAATCAGTAATTTATGAAAATATTTTTAATCAAAAGTATTTTCTGAATTTTAACGTTAAAATAACATATTAGAATATTGAAAAATAATTTTAATTTAAGGAATTTCTTTTTTCATCAAAGTAGGTAAAAAAGGTGAATTATTTTTCGATATAAATGTGATATAAAGGTTGATTAAAATTGAAGTTTAATTAAATTATATTTTGTATCGATTAAAATTTGGTTAAATTTAATTTTTTATTCACTTCAGTAAAGATTGATTAAAATTGAAATAAATTGAAACAAAAATCGAATTAAATATACCTATTAAATTAAAATTTTAATAAATAAAAATTTAGTTAAAAATTTCATTTCAAAAAATTATATTTTGAATGGATTAAAATTTGGATACATTAAAGTTTTTATTAATTTCAGTGAAGATTCAATAAAATTAGAATAAATTCAACCACAAATGAAATTAAATTTGATTAAATTGAAGTATTAATATATAAAAAGTTGGTTAAAATTGAAATTTCATTATTTCATTATTTAAATGAATTAAAATTCAGATAAATTAAATTTTTATCCAGTTCAGCACAAATTAATTAAATTAAAGGTTAAAACTCAAATCGAATTAAATTTAATAAATTTTAATTTTAATAAATAAAAATTTGGGTAAGATTGAAGTTTCATTAAATTATATTTTCTATGGATTACAATTTAGTTGAATTTAATTTTTTATTTATTGCAGTGGAGATTAATTAAAGTTGAAATAAATTGAAGCTCAAAACGAATTAAATTTTATTAAATTGAAATATTAATATGGAGTGGCTATTCGGCCAGTTAACTGTCAAAATAAGGTAGTTTAAATATTCTGCCAGTGAACTGGCAGAATAAATTTTCTTATTTGGCCAGTGTATCTAAAAAAATATACAATTAATATCTAAATCTGGCCAAATAAAAAAGGGACTCTATTTGTCCAGTCAAAATAAATAGTTTTTAATATTTCAATATACGGGCAAGCTAACGTTTAGATAAATTATTAAAAAAAGTTTTAAAACAACAACTAAATATGTATATGAAGTAGAGACAATTTAACAAAAAGGGTGCAAAAGGTGAAAAAGTATTATTAATAAATAATATTAATTTTTTATTATTATTGCTTATATTTATTATAATAGGGAAATGTCAGGAAAACAAAATTTTTGTCAGTAAAGTAAAGGAAATGACCGACAAAAAAAATTTTTTTGTCAGGGAAATCAAGAAAATTGAGACTTTTTTCGATTTATTTTCAAAAATTGCGACTTTTCGACTTTTCTTCCAAATATTGCAACAAAATACCACATCTTTTAGTATAAAATGCAGAAATATTCTATTATAATGCCTTTAAGTCATTCAATTTTGAAATATTTCAAAATTTAATTATTTGACATGTTTTTCGTCCAACGAAAAAAAACATTGCACATCACCCCACAACACCCTACCTTAATAACTTAAGAAAAGAACATGGACAATTACAATTATTATAAAAAATTTACTTTTTGTATTTAAATAATTGAATTCTAATAGAACTTTCGGAAAATTATTTAAATAATTGATGTAGAGATGAAGTTTTGGTAGTAAATTATAGAAAATAATTGAATTCAGGAAGGGTTAAAATTGTTATTTTTAGAAATTATTAAAATTCATAAATTTTACTCATTTTCTGTAAACTTTTATATTTTCCTGCAAAAAGAATTTCGTCAGGGAATATAATTTTAATGTCAGTAAATTGTCAGGGAAATTGATAATCTGAAACTTGTGACCACCCTGACAATATACTAAGTATCTTTTGGCCTATTAAAAAACTATAATTTAAATAACTTTACTGATTTAGGAAGAAATTATAAGAAAACTTCGTGAGACACAAATTTCAGGAAGTGTGTGCAGAATAAAAACAAATTGCTTTTTTTCTTTCAAATGTACATCAAGAACTTCGTCTATACTAACAACAAAAATAACAAAAAGCATAAGGTGCTCCTACTTTATACAAAAATTTTAAACGAAATGTCTATCTTGGCGCTCTTTCCCCTATATATATTTATTATTTTTATAATATTAATTATAATATAAATTTTAACAAAAATTTCTTTATTTTTTTTTATTTCTTATTATTATTTTTTATTATTATTTCTTATTATTATTTAGATCTTAAATTGAAATTTCAGTAAATATTTTTTTGAAAGGATTAAAATTTGGATAAATTAAATTTCTGATACAGTTCAGCACAAATTAATTGAAAATGGAATAAATTGAAGCTGAAATCGAATTAAATTGAAATTTTAATAAATAAAAATGTAGTTAAAATTGGTCCACTAAATTTCCAATAAATTACATTTTAAATACATTAAAATTGTGATATATTTATATCACAATTTGCATTAATTGAAGTAGTTTTTAAAAGTAATTTATAAAATAAATATTTGGTTTATTTAAACCAGAATTTTTCGATTATTATTAATTTCTAGGTTATGTCAAAATTATTAAATTTGCATTATTTTATTAATTTAGTCTAAATAAATTTATTTTCGAAAAAAATGAATTTCTTGGAAAAAACCCTGAAAAGAAATTAAAGAGACATTTAAATTACCCAAGAAGAGAAATTGTCTGAAGAGTTTTTCCCAGACCCATTTCATCAGCCAGAATTCCGTTAATTCCATTCTCATACAAAGAAATCATCCAATTTAGACCTCGAATTTGATAGTCTCGTAATTCTCCGGATTTTATGTAATTTGGCGATGATTCAAAACGCGTTGTTGGACCAGTTGTTGTATTATTACTTTCGGCAAGTAATTCCTCATCTTCTTCTTGTTCTGTTTTACTGTGCCTATGATCAGCAACATCAGACGACTTGTTTGACTCTTGAGATAGAGATTGAGATTGAGGTTGAGGTTGAGATGTTTGTGGTGGTGTTTTTGGATCTGCTTGAGGTTGCTTCCTTGGTCTACCAGCTTTTGGTTTTGTAGGACTCTTGTCCTTTTGATTGTTTGTCATAAAATGGGAAAAAATTTCAGTTTGTTTCAGTAAAAAATCGAAACGTTTACTTCTGTCGGTTTCAATTTTTGTCTCAAAATCACCACCACCTCTTGATGATGTTGTTTCTGCTGAGGAATCATTGGAATTTTCTCCCGTCTCTCCGGGAAATGCATTTTCATCTGTCTTTGACATTTTGAGAAAATGTGATTTTTCACACTTTTCTTTGATAAAAATCACTTGATTAATGTCTTTTTGAATCACATGCGATGGAATAATTTCGTTAACACTTTGATAAGAACAGTTTGTAAAATGTTCACACAGACACGTTCGTTTTTTGTTTAAAAAAAGACCCGGCGTATTAAAAATTATAAATTAATAACACACATTGTCGCCATCTTGTACACGATCCCTCCAAGTTTCGGAGCGTCATTGAGACATTGACCAGAATTGGGAATGTCTGTTAGGTCTGTTATATCGTATACGTAAATTACCATGATTTGCTGATACCTTAGGGCGAATTCACAAGTAATTAACGTTTAGAGGTACTTTTTTTTACCAATTGATGATAATTATTTCTCTTTTATTAATTCTTCTTGACATTCGTGTAAAACGTGTAATATAGTGTTATAAATACAATTAAAATTTTTGAGACGCCTGTTTATCCCCGTTTATGCAAATGCTCTAATAGTCATTTGATCTAATTTAAAGGTTATAAATATTCAAATGATCTAAAGAACATTGAATATAATGTGATTTTATATAAAAGTCTAATTAATAAAATGAGTTTATTCTATAATTTATTTTTAAGCCAATAATCAAAATATCCAATTCGCATTTTCTATAATCATAAGCAATTATAAAATTTTTTCACGCAAACTTTCAACTGATAAAATAGTTGTATAAGCCAAAGTTTATTTTTTATAATTTTATAATAACCTAATTTTAAAGTGTTATAATTTTTAATTTGTATAAATTGTAATTTAACAAATGTCTGTCAAATCTAAATGTAGTAAAATATAATTTATTTAAATAAAATATCTTTTTTAAAAAATGCTAACAACCTCGAATCGTCAATTGATCAAATATTCAAAACATCTAATCGTCATTTCGTCCAATGCTAAAAACATCGAATCGTCAAATGGTCGAATGCTTAAAACATCGAATCGTCAATTGATCAAATATTCAAAACATCTAATCGTCATTTCGTCCAATGCTCGAAACGTCGAATCGAGAAAAAGTTGAAAAATTTGCTTGATGTAAGTTAACATTTATTTAAACCAAGCAAATTTTTCCAATTTTTGTCGATTCGACGTTTCGAGCATTGGACGAAATGACGATTAGATGTTTTGAATATTTGATCAATTGACGATTCGATGTTTTGAGCATTCGACCATTTGACGATTCGATGTTTTTAGCATTGGACGAAATGACGATTAGATGTTTTGAATATTTGATCAATTGACGATTCGAGGTTGTTAGCATTTTTTAAAAAAGATATTTTATTTAAATAAATTATATTTTACTACATTTAGATTTGACAGACATTTGTTAAATTACAATTTATACAAATTAAAAATTATAACACTTTAAAATTAGGTTATTATAAAATTATAAAAAATAAACTTTGGCTTATACAACTATTTTATCAGTTGAAAGTTTGCGTGAAAAAATTTTATAATTGCTTATGATTATAGAAAATGCGAATTGGATATTTTGATTATTGGCTTAAAAATAAATTATAGAATAAACTCATTTTATTAATTAGACTTTTATATAAAATCACATTATATTCAATGTTCTTTAGATCATTTGAATATTTATAACCTTTAAATTAGATCAAATGACTATTAAGGTACACTCTCACCTCTACTGCCTGCCTGCCTGCGCAGGCAGGCGCCATAAGAGTGAGAGAGAAAAAACATTTAATTTGAATTTTCTGACTCTCTTACTCTTATGTGTTACCATGTCAACCTGCAGGCAGGCAGGCAGGCAGTAGGAGCTGTGCTAGCGCCTTTATTTTATTCACGAAAATTAATTTTCCCGATTGTAATCGAAATAAATAATTACATTTATCAGTTTAGAAAACAAAATTCTTTTACGTCTTAGTCTTAAAAAACAAAATAACTGTCTAATATTTACTTGTTTCTCTATATAAATACCTATATTTCTCTGTAAACATTTTTAAAAATTATTTTCAAATTTCTTTCGACCATAATATAGTTCAAATTTAGACTATAATTTAGTACTATTTTCTATTTATCAATTTTTTATTAATTTGTTTTTTTTATAAACTAATTTTGTAAACAAATTTTATAAAATAATAAAAAAATACTAAAAAAATCAAATTTATTGAAAAAAATAAAATTTTAAATTTAAGTATATCTGTAGAAAAATAATTATTTCCTAAATTAAATTTCATTAAAAGATTGGTATTAAAAAGAACGTTCGCCTGATTAAATGCATTCTGACTTACTTTTTAGATAAACTAAAAGCCTACAGTAGGGGACCCAGTAAAAAAAAAAGTATTCAGAATAGAGAAAAAGTATTGGTGGAGACGTTCGGTGAATGCGTTTTCGCGACAAAACCGTATTGGTGGGTCACGGTGAATACATTTCGCTTACCGTGAATACTTTTTTTTTAAACTCTCGATTTAAAGATTCCTAAGCAAAGTTGAGAATATTTATAAAGAGCGTAAGTGATCTGAAGTATAAAAATGACGATTGCGAGAAGGAAATAAGAAATTTTGAGAAAAAACGAAAAATTAAATGTGACAAACCTACAGCGTATGATGATGAAAAGGAACATTGACGATACCGACAGAAACTTGAGAAATCCAAGTAAATGTATGTGAAACAGTAAGTTCCGCCGGTAACGTCAAAGTTCCTTTTAATCATCATACGTTGTAGGCACAGAAAAGCATATGGTAATTGATCAACATTTGACAATCTGTTTGTCACATTTAATTTTTCGTTTTTTTTTTAAATTTCTTATTTCCTTCTCGCAATAGTCATTTTTATACTTCAGGTCACTTACGCTCTTTATAAATATTCTCAACTTTGCTTAGGAATCTTTAAATCGAAAGTTTTTAAAAAAAGTATTCACGGTAAGCGAAATATGTATTCACCGTGACCCACCAATACGGTTTTGTCGCGAAAACGCATTCACCGAACGTCTCCACCAATACTTTTTCTCTATTCTGAATACTTTTTTTTTTACTGGGGATTTATTTCACTTTTTTACAGTTTGAATATTTTTGTATTCAAAATTATTTCTTTCAAAAAAGAAAATAATAAAAATAATAGAAATAATAGGAAATGATAATCTTTATTTAACCCCTTGACTGTGAGGGTACGTCTATAGACGTACATTTGAAAGTGGGCTTCCAGTGTGAGGTACGTCTATAGACGTACATACAAAAAAATTGATAAAAGGCAGAAAAAACAAGTAAATTTACGTCACACATACGTTACTTATGGTATTTTCGACGATAAATTCGAAACTGAAGTCAAATTTTGAAAATTCGAAAACCAAAATCCAATATGGCTGCTCAAAAGTAGACTTTTTTTAATTATACTTTTATTATATTAAATCTCAGGCAGCATACATTATTATATCAAAATAATATCTCACACAATTATATCAAAATGTTGTCGACGTCGCTGGTTACAAATATGAAGTTAGAATTTCGAAATTCAAAATGGCGGATTTGGATCCGCCATTTTGAATTTCGATGATGGACTAATTTTTTTAAATTCATTGAATTCGCTTGAAACTAACTACTCGGGGGTTTTCGAGGTCGCTGATTCCGAATATGAAGTTAGATTTTCGAAATTCAATATGGCGGATCCAAAATGGCGGACATATTTTTTAGTATTCATTGGATTTGCCTAAAACTTGTTACTCGGGGGTTTTCGAGGTCGCTGATTTGGAATATGAAGTTAGATTTTCGAAATTCAAAATGGCGGATCCAAAATGGCGGACGTATTTTTTGAATTCATTGTAATCGCTTGAAACTTGTTACTCGGGGGTTTTTAGGGTCGCTGATAACGAATCTAAGCTCAGATTTTAAAAATTAAAAATGGCGGATCCAATATGGCGGACATATTTTTTTAATTTCTCGGATTCGATTGAAACTTGTTACTCGGGGGTTTTTGAGGTCGCTGATGACGAATCTGAAGTCAGATTTTCAAAATTCAAAATGGCGGACGTATTTTTTTGAATTCATCGTATTCGCTTGAAACTTGTTACTCGGGGGTTTTCAGGGTCGCTGATAACGAATCTGAAGTGCATTTTTAAACATTCAAAATTGCGGATCCAAATCAGCGACCTCGAAAACCCCCGAGTAACAAGTTTTAAGCGAATCCGATGAATTCAAAAAAATATGTCCGCCATTTTGGATCTGCCATTTTGAATTTCGAAAATCTAACTTCATATCTAGAATCAGCGACCTCGAAAACGCCCGAGTAACAAGTTTCAAGCAAATCCGATAAATTCAAAAAATACGTCCGCCATTTTGAATTTTGAAAATCTGACTTTAGATTCGTCATCAGCGGCCCCCAAAACCCCTAAGTAACAAGTTTTAAGTGAATCCGATGAATTTTTGAAAATGTTGTCCGCCATATTGGATCTGCCATTTTGAATTTTAAAAAGCTGACTTCATATTCGGAATCAGCGACCTCGAAAACCCCCGAGTAACAAGTTTCAAGCAAATCCGATGAATTCAAAAAAATACGTCCGCCATTTTGGATCCGCCATTTTGAATTTTGAAAATTTGACTTCAGATTCGTCATCAGCGGCCCCCAAAACCTAACTGTACCCAATCTCACAAATTTTGGTCACCAAAAAATTTCTTAACATTTTGGACCCACTTTATAAATTTTTCTCCTCACAGCGAAGGGGTTAATAATAATATTGCTTGTTTTATTAAAAAAAACCGGACAAGTGCGAGTAGAACTCGTCTAGAAAACCGAGGGTTCCGTACCCACGTTTAAAACTTCTACTTTTTTGCTGAAAAAATTTAAAGATCAACTCCAATATTATTCGTTGTATTTTTTCTGTAATCTACAGGTGAAAATAAATAAATAACCAATTTTCATCTCTTCAGATAAAAAACTGTGGGCGCTAGGGTAAAAAACACGCATTTTTGACGAAATTTTTAAAAACTTCGAGTTTTTCGCTAAAAAAAATATGAAGATAAAATCCAATAATTTTTTCTGTATGTTTGTTGAAATCTACACGAAAAAATAAATAAAAATGTATAACGCCAGTCCACTAGACTAAAAATTGAGAAAACTAGCATGGGTATAATTATTATCAAAAATTGAAAAAAAAAATTTAGGTTTTCGCTCAAAACGCAATGAAGATCAATTCTAATCATTTCCACTATATTTTCCCCCTAATCTATACGTGAAAATACAAAAGTGTACCAATTTTCAGCTCTTTAGATAAAAAACTGTGAGTGCTAGGGTGAAATACACACTTTTTTGACGAAATTTTTAAAAATTTTGAGTTTTTCGCTAAACAAATATGAAGATAAAATCCAATCATGTTCGGTGTATTTTTCCTGAAATCTACACATGAAAAAACATAAAATAAGCAAGACTGCAGTTCAATAGGCCAAAAATTGTGAAAACCAAGGGGGGGGGGGGTACACACATTTTTTTAAAAAACGAAAATTCTTTTTAGTTTTTAGCAAAAAAAAAATATGAAGATGAATTCCAATAATTTTTTCTGTATGTTTGTTGAAATCTGCACGAAAAAATAAATAAAAATGTATAACGCCAGTCCACTAGATTAAGAATTGAGAGAACCAGCAAGGGTTAAAGAATTTTCGAGCTTGCAAAAAGAGATTTTAGTTTTTCGATGAAAAATAAATAAATAAATACACACTGAGAGAACAGAGTAGTTATCGCAACCAATAAAATGCTTACGAAAACCATTTTGGTTAGTAAACTATACTGCTGCTAATTGGATAGTTGAAGATACCATTTTTAAATAGTAAAAGATTTACCATTTTCTATTAGTAAAGGCAACTATTTTAGTTGGTAGGGACCACTAATAAAAGTTCTAATAGGTACATTTGCTTAGTTCATTTTACAATAAATAAATATATAACAACAATTATTTATCTAATATTATTCGCACACTATAAAGACATGATAAACATATTTTTTAATGTGCGAATAATATTAGAAAAGTAATTATCATTATCCTTACAAAAATAACACTGCACTTTTTCCTCGAGTATACAAAATATTCACAAGTTGCACTTATTACATGTCCTTTACATTCTTCGACTCTCGATATCTCTTCTGACAGTTTCATCAGTTTCCACACACTCGATATTCTTCTTATCACAAAAATAACAAAAAGTTAGAAACAAATAACCACATAAAACTTTAACAAATGCACTAAGAGGACAACACTATGTTATGCGTCATATGTCAAGCCGACATTTTTTTTCTCGTTTACTAACGAAAATGGTAAAGCCAACTATTTTTGTGGATGCATTTACTATTTCACATTTACTAATTCTAAATAGTTACGTTTGATATGCAAAAGATTAAAACTTACTGGTAAAATTACTAGATTTTACTAACTAAATAGACGGGAGAATAAATTTTGCCTTTACTAATAAAAAAGTAGTTGCTCTAACCATTCATTTCTCTCAGTGCACCATGAAAATAAATTCTAATCACTTCCGCTATATTTTTCCTGTAATCTATGCGTAAAAACGAATAAGTATGCCAATTTTCAGCTCTTTAGATAAAAAACTGTGGGCGGCAGGGGAGAAGTACATGCATTTTTTTCGAAATTTTCAAAATTTTCGAGTTTTTCGCTGAAAACACTATGAAGATCAATACCAAATATGTTCGCTATATTTTTCCTGTAATCCATTTTTGAAAATACATATGGGCAATTCTACGTGAGATTTCAGTCGACCTCTTAAAATCGGCCAAAAATATTTTTTTTCTATTCTGTATTGAAAAAAAACAGATACGTATTTTTTTTTTATTTTTTTGGAGGCCAAATTTTTGAGTTATGAATTTTCAAAATTTTCGCTTTTTAAATGTAGGTATATTTTTAATGTCAGATAACTAAAAAAATATTGCTTCTTTTCATTTTTTGACAAGAGAAAAAAAGTTTTGTTTTTCTCTCTACTTTTGAATAATCATAACAAAAAAATTTTTTTTTCATTTTTTATTAAAAAAATAAAAAAATTTTATAAACAAATTAATTTTTTTTAACTTTGGGTATGATAAATTTTTAATTTTCTTTTTTTAAAACATACCTGGAAATGATAAGAAGGTTTTGCAAAAAGTTTCAGAGTGGGCCTGACAAGTTTGATGGGTCCAAAAAAATAATTAAGCTGTCCGTGCAGGTCGCACGCACGTGGCACAATGGGATTTTTTTACAATTTATTATTAAAAATTGTCTAGAGCCTACAAATTTTATCGGATTTTGATTATTATTGAATTTTTAGGCTCTAAACAATTTTTAATAATAAATTGTAAAAAAATCCCATTGTGCCACGTGCGTGAGACCTGCACGGAGAGCTTAATTATTTTTTTGGACCCATCAAACTTGTCAGGCCCACTCTGAAACTTTTTGCAAAACCTTCTTATCATTTCCAGGTATGTTTTAAAAAAAGAAAATTAAAAATTTATCATACCCAAAGTTAAAAAAAATTAATTTGTTTATAAAATTTTTTTATTTTTTTAATAAAAAATGAAAAAAAAATTTTTTTGTTATGATTATTCAAAAGTAGAGAGAAAAACAAAACTTTTTTTCTCTTGTCAAAAAATGAAAAGAAGCAATATTTTTTTAGTTATCTGACATTAAAAATATACCTACATTTAAAAAGCGAAAATTTTGAAAATTCATAACTCAAAAATTTGGCCTCCAAAAAAATAAAAAAAAAATACGTATCTGTTTTTTTTCAATACAGAATAGAAAAAAAATATTTTTGGCCGATTTTAAGAGGTCGACTGAAATCTCACGTAGAATTGCCCATATGCATACCAATTTTCATCTTTCTAGGTAAAAAACTGTGAGCGCTAGGGGGGGGGAGGGGTACATGGTCATTTTCCGTAACCGTTTTAATAGCCCAGTAAAAAAAATTCGATACACGGACCGCAGAGTTCGTATACGAGCTCGGTAGCTCGTATGAGAAATATGAGAAAACTGGCTCATACGAGCCTTTTCCGTAATGAGAAGTGTATAGATGCTTGTATACGAGGTGACTTTTAAAGCATTATTTTAAAGTAAATGTAGATAATAGAAATGAATTTTCAAAGTAAAACAAAGCTAAATTTATAAAGGAAATGAAGTTTTAAGAAAAAAAGGATAATTTTGTTCAAAAAATTTATTCACACTGAAAAAAGGTTAGAATTTGATAATTCCTTATGTTACTTTAACTAACCGACATTAGATATTTCTCGTATACGGTAAGCAGATTTTGTATTAAATTTAATTATTTTATATAAGAACATTTATATAATAAATAAATAATAATATATTATTAATTAGTAATGAAAAAAACTTATTTATTCTACCGCCAATACAAAATCGTGCTTACCGCATCCGAGAAATATCTAATGTCGGTAAGTTAGAGTAACAAGGAATTATCAAATACTAACCTTTTTTCAGTGTGAATAAATTTTTTGAACAAAATTATCCTTTTTTTCTTAAGACTTCATTTCCTTTATAAATTTAGCTTTGTTTTACTTTGAAAATTCATTTCTATTATCTACATTTACTTTAAAATAGTGTTATATTAAGAAAAATGCTTTAAAAGTCACCTCGTATACACTTCTCATTACGGAAAAGGCTCGTATGAGAGTTTTCTCATATTTTTTCTCATACGAGCTACCGAGCTCGTATACGAACTCCGCGGTCTGTGTATCGAATTTTTTTTACTGGGAGGGTTCCTACCGGGTACGGAACCCTAAAAATAATAAATATTGCATTTTATTTATTTATTTATTGTATTTATTTACAGAAAAAAACGAAACAAGTCCATTTTGTTTAAAAATTGTAAAAATTTATTTTTTTAGCTGAAAAAATTATTGTTAAATATTTTTAGTTAGAAAAATAATAAATATCACTCTTTTTATTTAGAAAATAGTAAATATTACTTTTTGATTAACAAAAATAATAAATATTACACTCAAATCTCGCTATAACGACCTTCTCTATAACGAGCGCTCTCTATAACGAGAGCTCTGTCTCTCGGTATAGCGAGGAAAATTTCCTCCCGATTACCCCCACTATTTATAAACAAATGCACATTCATTTGGTTTAAAGTTGGTTAAAATCAATTTTATTTATATAAAATAAAATAAAAAAGTCATAAAAGGTCACTTCTTATTTGAAATTATATCAATCTTCAAAATTTTAGCTTATATAAATTTTCTGTACGTTAAAGTTCAAATTAAACTAGGTTACGTTTGTAATTTTGACATTATGTAAATTGTAAACACTAAAAAAAATGAATGAAGAATCTTAAAAGTGGGGATTTCTCATTTCTCCTCTTGCGCTCGTAATAGAGGGAGACTTGACTCCCGAACTTCTCGTTATAGCGAGATTCGAGTGTATATTTAAAAAAAGCACATATTTTTTTTATTTGAAAAAAATAATAAATAATATTACTTTTTTAATTTAAAAATATAATTTCAAGAGTAAAATATTTTATATTTTTCAAAAAAAAAATCAAATCAAATATGTTTAAAAAATATAATACTTGTTTATGGCCTGCATGTTTTACAATGATTTTTGTGTAATATATATACAAGTTAATGTATAAATAATTAGATTTGCAATGTTTAAATCTTGTCCATACAGTCTTTATACATTATTATATATTATTTAAAAATAAATAAATACGGAAATATTTTCTCTATGAAGTTTTGACAAAATTTTTTTCATGAGGAAAAAATTATAATTTCTCTGTATTTATCATTTGTATACGTATTTTAAGTTTAATTTTTTCCCCCATTTTATACAAAAAAAAATATTCTTGTCTTTAATGGACGAAATATTTTTGAACCACTATAAAATAAAATAATACAAATGTGTATAAAGTAAATTATAAAATTTAAATCAACAATTTTTTTCAATTAATTTTAATAATATTAATTCTTTTCAATTCATTTTTTCCAATTAATGTTTTAATTTTTTAATTATCTTTTTGCAGTTAATTTTTTTTCAATTAATATTTTTTACTGACAAATCATGAAGAGTTTGAAAATTTAGACTTGAAGAATTACTAGGTAATTCATTAATAATAGTAATTATTTCGATAAATTACTATATGATAATTGTAGATATGAAACAAAATGTTAAATTTTGTGTCCATATGTATTGTTATTGTAAATAACATTTGGAAAATCGTATTGTCCATTATGAGATGTATGCAATTGTGGTCGCAATCTCATTATTCGAATATTACTTTGTCTCGCGTCAACTTTCCTCAGGAAAAACTTTTGGAATTTTGTCGAGAGCATCCAAAGATTTCCTCTATCTCTGTCGATGAATTTCAGTTCAGCGACGAATTGCAATTGTTCTGGATTGTAGGCGAGTATCCTGAAGGGAAATTCAGAAAGAAGAATTATTTAATTAATTAAATTATCAACAAAAATTTAAAAAAAAATTAAATTAACAAAAAAAAATAAGCAACATTGAATTAAAAAATAGATAATTTTTTATAAGTATAGAAATTTTCTTTCTTATTTTACCTTTGATTGTTTGACATAGGATGCCAAGCAGCAATTGCAGTTTCGGTAAGTGGAGAAAAAATAATTGAATCATCTTTCGTGTCGACGGTCAATGCCGGACCTTGACTGGATTTTCTTCCAATAAAACTAACTGGAAGTTGTTCTCCGAAAGGTGGAGTGCCAGCTTGAAGCGCCGATGTTGGTACACTAAATAAACGATCAGAAGCGAGTGGGTTGAAATAAACTGTTCCTAAATTTGCCGAAAATCCCAATCCAATAATTCCGTCTGGCAGTTCGAAAATGTCTTCTCCAATCTATAAGAAAAAATCATGCTCTTATTATTATTATAATTATTTATTTGTTTATCTACTTTTATATTTTTAATTAATTTATTTAAGAGTAAATAAATAAAATTACAAAACCACAATAATTAAAATAATTAACTTAAAATTATAATTTATAATAATATAATAATAATAAAATAATTTATAATTTTTTTTTATTTGCGTGATAAAAATTTATTTTACCCGATAAGTCATAGAATCAGGATTAGGAAACATGGAAGAATGAGTGACTCTCCAACTTCTATCAGAAGTACCATCCAATACGAGCATACCTAAAGAAATAAAAAAAATTTTTCTTATTGTAATAATTATGAAGCAATAAATAAAATATTAAATAAAATAATTTTTTTTCTATTTATAATTAATTATTTTTTAAAATTAATTGAAAAATTAAATTTTTCAAATGAAAATACATATAAGAAAATTATTCCCTTACCAGCTGCAGTAGTATCCGCTATATAGACAAAAACATCGTCACAGGAATTCGCCGATGTATCATCCATAACGAAATTTGTTAATAAACTATGTGGTCTTAATATCTGGAAGAATATAAATTACTAATAGCTATTACGAAAATATTCGAATTTTAATTAAAAAATTATTTATTTTACTTATTCGAATAAATAAACCTTAATAAAAACTTAATAAATAAATAAATAAATAATTTTTCATTTATGTAATATTTTCTATAAATGTAAGTAAAAAATTTCAATTTTTCATTAAAAAATAAGGAATTTTGATAAATGAAAATAATAAACAAATTCAAAAATTAAAGTAGTTTATTTATTTATAAATCCATATTAACAATCGTTATTATTATTTCATTATTTAGGAAAATAATTGATTTCTCACGAAGAATTTTGTTAAAATTTTTGAAAATTCTAATTCAATTCTTTTTGAAGAATTTCTTTGAATTGTTTTAAAATAATGGAGTTTTTTGTTACAAGTGAAATTAAACATTTAATTATTGAATTTTATTATTTTAGAAAATAGGTACCTACCTAATTGAATTTTTTTGAAAAATTTTATAACAAATTTTGAAAAAAATTGAATTCTTTCGTGAAATTTTTTTTTTTAAATAATTGAATTTCTCAAAGAATTTTAGGTACTACCTATTAATAAATATAAGAAATTGGATTTTTTCGAGGAATTTATTAAAATTTTTAAAAATAATTCAATTTTTTCGAAAAATATTAAATTAAATTTCTTTTTAAATTGAATTCTTCCATGAAATATTATTAAAATTGTATTAAACAGAATAGGATTTTTTTTATTTTATAACAAATGAAGGGAAAATTGAATGCTTTCGTGAAATTTGATTAAAAATAATTGAATTTTTGCAAAATTTTTTTTACTATTTAAAAAAATAATAGAATTGTTTCCAAAGACTTATTAAAATTTTAGAAAGTAATTGTATTTGTTCGTGAAATTTTATTAAAATTTTGTTTAAAAATAATTGAGTTTTTGCAAACAATTTTACTATTTATAAAAATATAATTAAAATCTTACGAAGAATGTTATTATTTATGAAAATAATTAAATTCTAGCAAAGAATTTTATTAAAATTTAAAAAATTAATAAACAAGAAAATTAATCAGTAAATTAGTTAATAATTGAATTTTCTTAAAATTTTAATCTAGAATTATTCAAAAATTCATTTTTGAAAATAAAAAATCTTCTTGCTTTTGAATTAGTAAATTTTATTATTAAATTAGTAGAAATGACCATTTTTTAGTAAAATTCAAAAGCAAAAAATCAGTCGCTAATTCAAATTAGTAAACATATTTTTACTAATTAAAATTAAGAGAGAATATAAATAAAACAATCAAATTAAAAACAAAATCGTAAGATTTTTTATATGCATTAGCGCCATTTATTTTAATGATTATTATAAGTAAGCAATAGCTAGACCCCCCCTCCCCCTTAAATGCTTACGTCGTAATACTTGAATGGTCCCTTTAATTTTAAAGAAATATGTAAATGAAAAAAACAGTATACTCTGCATACCTCTCGTGGAAAATGAATTAATCTGACAAGTGTGTCTGTTTGGAGATCGAAGACGAGCATTTTTGGCGGGCAAACGGGACGAAAATCATCGATAGAAGTAATGACGCCAGCATCCAGTACCCACAATCTATTGCATTTATCAATTTTCGTACGATAAACGGAAATAATTGTCGAACAACTGATATTTCCTTTACCGGCCAAATGCCAGTCCCACGACGGATACGCCTGCAATTGTGGACTACTGCCTAATGGAAGATCTCTGGGTATAAAACTCAATGTTGCAGGAACGCCTGCACGCAATCTCGGCGTTGAAATAAATATCCTATGCCAGGAGACTTCAAATCCCGTGGGAACAACATTCTCAGGACGAAACATTTGCAAAAATGCCGCATCATAAGGTAATGCAAAATCCATTAATGGCCATTGAGCAATTGTGTCCAATACATCGCAATTTGAACGCGTGCTCCATATTAGTAGAAGGGAAAATAGAATTTTTCTGTATGAAAAATAAATAATAATCCATTTTTTAAAGAAAAAGAAAATTTTCTTTTTAAAAAAAAATAAAATAAAATAAAATTAAATTAAATTAAATAATAAATTAAATAATAATAATAATAATTAATAATAATTATTTCATTTTTAATAATTAAATAATAATAATTTATTTTTTAAATAAATTAATCAATTGATTAATTTATTTTACTATTTTCTTTATTATTTTATTTTTAGTAAATTACTTTCTATTTGAAACCTGTTTATATATGTTCAAATAAATAAATAAAAGAGAAAATAGAATTTTTCTATATGAAAAATAAATAATATTCTATATTAAATTTTTTTCAAGAAACAGAATAAATGAATTTATTTTATTTAACAAATAAACGGGTCATCACTTTTTGTATTCTATTAATTAATTAAATTAATTGATAACAAATTATTATTTTTTTTTTATTCTCAATTTTCAATTTGGATTTTTGGTCCATATTAAACAGAATAAGAAAAAATATAATTTTTCAAGAAGAAAAAGAATAGAATACATTTTTTTGATTATTTTATTATTTAATTTCTGTGAAATTTTTATTATTTATGAAAATAATTAAAAGTTTGCGTACAATTTTATTGAAAACTTTTTTTAAATAATTAATTTCTTTTTGGGTAGTTTTATTAAAATAGTAGAGATATTAAAAGTTATTGAATTGAGGAAAATTTTTGAAAATAATTGAAATTTTGACAAGAATTTTATTGAAATTTTTAAAAATAATTGTAATTTTGAAAAGAATTTTATTAAAATTTTTGAAAATAATTGAATTTTGAATAAGAATTTTATTATTTATAAAGATAATTGGGATTTTGACGAGATTTTTTTTCAATTTTGAACATAATTGAATTTAGTGATAAAGAAGAAATTATTTTCAGAAATTTAAAAAAGTGAAGGTTTTGTATTATAATTTGTGGTAATTTCATAGCTTATGAGGCAAATAAAAACGACACAAAAATTCAGAATTTTCTTATGAATTCTAAAAATTTAATTTTTTTCAATCCCAGTAAAAAAAAAAGTATTCAGAATAGAGAAAAAGTATTGGTGGAGACGTTCGGTGAATGCGTTTTCGCGACAAAACCGTATTGGTGGGTCACGGTGAATACATTTCGCTTACCGTGAATACTTTTTTTAAAAACTTTCGATTTAAAGATTCCTAAGCAAAGTTGAGAATATTTATAAAGAGCGTAAGTGACCTGAAGTATAAAAATGACTATTGCGAGAAGGAAATAAGAAATTTAAAAAAAAAACGAAAAATTAAATGTGACAAACAGATTGTCAAATGTTGATCAATTACCATATGCTTTTCTGTGCCTACAACGTATGATGATTAAAAGGAACTTTGACGTTACCGACGGAACTTACTGTTTCACATACATTTACTTGGATTTCTCAAGTTTCTGTCGGTATCGTCAATGTTCCTTTTCATCATCATACGTTGTAGGTTTGTCACATTTAACTTTTCGTTTTTTCTCAAAATTTCTTATTTCCTTCTCGCAATCGTCATTTTTATACTTCAGATCACTTACGCTCTTTATAAATATTCTCAACTTTGCTTAGGAATCTTTAAATCGAAAGTTTTTAAAAAAAGTATTCACGGTAAGCGAAATGTATTCACCGTGACCCACCAATACGGTTTTGTCGCGAAAACGCATTCACCGAACGTCTCCACCAATACTTTTTCTCTATTCTGAATACTTTTTTTTTTACTGGGATACTTTTCATAAAAATCCCTGACTTTTCCCTTAATTCCCTGTGTCAGAATATATGATATTATAGTTATAATAATATTAAAACTATATTTGTTAAAGAATTAGTATTCACTTTTACTTGACTAAACTGCCAAGGGCAATAATGAAAGAAAGTACAAGAAAAGATATATATTGAAAATAGTAATTGTAATTTATTACAATTTAAATACACTGAACTGTACAGACTCGGAAAATATCTACACGTCTCCGCGATTAGACTTCGCATTTAGTTTCACGACGTGCATAAGCACCTACTCATTGGACATCCAGCCAAAAACTGAAAAACCATGCCTTTCGCATTCCCTCGCAAAACTTAAACTTCCGCTATTAAAGTTCTAGAATATTCCAGAGTCAATCTTTATACCCACATAGCACAATAGTATGAGGTAAGGTTATGTTGAGTACTAATCGTAAGGCACATAAGGTTACACAATATTGCTGCGGTAGACCTGAGGTGAACTAAAAACTTCCGCCATGGAGGTAAGGTTACATGTTAGGGTGTGGTGAGTATATATGATAAGGCCATGGTAACCTTACACGTTAAGGTTAAGGTAACCTTACACGTTAAGGTTGATGTAACCTTACACGTTAAGGTTGAGGTAACGTTACATGTTAAGGTTGAGGTAAGGTTACATGTCAAGGTTGAGGTAAGGTAATTATTAAGTTGTAAGGTTGAGGTAAGGTTAAGGTAAGGTTGTGATAAATTTACCAGTTATGGAAAATATTGAAAAAATAATTAATAAATAAATATTCAATTAAAAAGTTAGTTTGTTGCTCCTCTCTATTTTGGAAACCTGACATGAAGCAGAAAATTTTGAAAACAAATTTGGGGGGACTGGGATTTGAACCCGGGATCGACGCGCATAAACCTATCATTCTAACTAACTGAGCTAAGTAGAGAACTGGTAGAAGGAAAATTAATATTGCCTTTAAGGAGTTAATCATCTTCTTGGTTCACCTTAAAGGCAACATTAATTTTCCTTCTGCCAGTTCTCTACTTAGCTCAGTTAGTTAGAATGATAGGTTTATGCGCGTCGATCCCGGGTTCGAATCCCAGTCCCCCCAAATTTGTTTTCAAAATTTTCTGCTTCATGTCAGGTTTCCAAAATAGAGAAGAGCAACAAACTAACTTTTTAATTGAATATTTATTTATTAATTATTTTTTCAATATTTTCCATAACTGGTAAATTTATCACAACCTTACCTTAACCTTACCTCAACCTTACAACTTAATAATTACCTT